GTAGGCCTAAAACTGTAGGTAAAAAGAATTATGAAGCTCGATGGAGAAGGTACCCTGCTGACTCCACTCAATTTTGTGGATGCCTCTGCGAACGCCACCTAGTTTATATCACCGTTTTCCTTTTCCCCTACCAGTAATATTTAATAATGTATCATTCATGGCCTAGGCCTTGGTAGCCTATAGCAAGATTTTTAGTAGGTGGTTTTTAAAATTTCTGTTAAAATTCTGTATTCTGAAAAATTAAATAATATAATGATCTGTAATTTACTGTAGAACAGATTTCCCTGCCATAAATCAAGAAATAAAGAAATCCCAACCTTCATAGCCTAAAATGAAAATAATATTTTTGTCTATTTAAACCAATTAAACTTCCTCAACCATAACATCATTTTATGTTAGGTAAAATAGGCACCTACTTAATTGCGCCATACCAATGCAAAAATCAATTAGTCCAAGTCCAAAAATGTGCGTTAAGAAATGGTATGTTATTTTAGATGAGTGAAAGAAAAAGAAAAAATATCCCAGATGTTGAATTATAGCTAAGTTTGGAGTAAGCTCAAGACGAAAGTACCGACGGTGTGACAAAAAAATGGTGTCAGTAGGCCTACTTTTTACCACGACAAAGATATATGCTTCGCCTTTTTTTAAGTAAAGTTTTATTTAAAGCAAACAAAATTTATTTTTTTATTTTCCAAGTAAGCTGGTTGAACCGTAACACAAGAAGGCTTCTCATCCCATTGTAAATTATGAAGCTCTGGTCACATTTTCATTCACAGCTGTCACTGAAGGTCGTGATGGTGGGGTAGGTGGCAACGTTGGTGTCTCCGGTGAAGGTGTTGGCAGGGCTGCTAATGGTGTTATTGAGGCAGGCGGTGCTGGATGACGGGTTTGGGCTCCTACAAACTATTGTTGTATTTAGGTTGTTATCGATAAAAGACTGGATTCTATTGTTAAATTCACTGTGTGTTAAGTCGTTTCTTAGTTGTCTAAGGGATTCTTAGACACAAATACACTATTGTTTGAAACAATAGTTACACTTGCACCTGTTGATTCTTGAAAGTGTTGGAGGTTATTGAAGAAATGGGGTAACGCCACTTTATCTCTTACACATCCAATGGGAGAGCATACGAGATGTTTTAGCCCTTTGTTTTTAAAGTCTGTTGTCAAATCTTTGAAAGCTGTTGTGTAATCAGATATGTCTGGTTTACCATAATAGTTGGCTTTTGTAACCAAACTGTAAACGGTAGCACAATGTGAAGTGGATTGCACTGCTAAATGTGATGAAATGCAGTGGTCAATTCTGGTTTGCCAAAGTGTCGCCTAAAGACGACTGCCACTCCTGCTGTCATGTGGCGTGGATGGTTAAAATCAGCTGAAATACTTTGTGTGAACCCTACGGATTGGTCATGCTGGTAATCTTTAATAACATCAAACATTGGTTTTTCAGTTAACTGCATTTTAAATTGGTTTGAAGCTTTAGTCTGTTCTGGATACTTTTTGCTGTAGGTCAATGATGTTGGTTGTTTATGCTCTTTATGTGCGATAGAATTAGTTTGCTTAGCTACAGAAATTTGAGCTGACCTTCGTGAAACAGTATTTATAATAACATGAGCTAGTTTAGTCCCTACCTTTATTATTAATGTGCAAGCCATGTGTTGCGAAGTGGGATCTATTGATAAACTTCAGGTCAATCAGAAAAACATTGTTTAATCTAGCGACTAATTCAGCTATGTAGTTATTTACTCGTGCTAACAGATGCTTCTCAATACTATTGTAAGGCTTGTCATATCTCATAGGGATTGTTGTAATAAAAACTGGTCTATTCTTACTATGGGTCACGAGTTTACCTTCTAATTTAGAATAAATACTGTGGAAGTCATTATTCAGGCTGTCATTGCTCCCTCCTAATATTAAGAGAGGAGTGTTGAGGTTTTCGATAGAAGATGAATCGATAACTTGAATCAGAGTCGTGTTAGGTCTGACGTAACCAAACACATCTACTTTCCCAGCACTAATGTTATGGATTTGTGTAGCCAGCATCTTCCCTTGACTATCTGCACACAGGGTAATTTTCGTCCTAGGGGTAATATGTCCAAAGTTTCTTCTTCTTTTTCTTCTTGATGTCTTCTTCTCTTCACTTCGATGAGCCTTATTTATAGGAGTTTATTAGCCTTATTATACTCTACAGTTATGGAACTAAGATTTGACGTCAGTTCAACATTTTCAGACATATTTTCTAGAATTCTAAATTTATTTTGAATATTTATGGGGCGAATTTCAAATTTGCTCTCCTGTAAAAGAGTCAGATTTTTGCTTGAATTCTTTGGAATTTATCGTGTAAGGATGAATTGATCCCTTAAGCGTTCGTCCAGACCATCACCAAAAGTACAGTGTCCAGCGTTTGCTTAAGTTAACCACGTGAGTAAGTACAAGTTTTAGTTTCGTTTTTAAGCTTAAGTAGCAGTTTTATTTTTTGTTTCTATTTTTCTCGTTTCGTTTCTCACAGGCAACTTGAGCAAGCTTGTTTTTTTTTGCAAATTCAGACTCTGTGGGACTTAGGCTAGGCTTAAGCTAACCTTTGCCTGTTTCAGGTTATCACGAGTACCTTAACTCCGTAGGTAAGCGGGATGACTACTTATTTTACTATTTGTCTAATTAAGTAGTTAGTAGCGTGTCAAGTAGTTATTGCCCACAGAGTCAGGTTAAAATGATCGATTCCTCACCAGCTCCCCTGACTAGAGCGGTGATTAAAAGTGTGATGTCTGGTAACCCGCTAGGTTTGTTCCGAGCTCTGATAACCGAGGCTATTAACACTGAGCTATCCTAATCGCTATGGACTCCTGGGAAAATCCCCGCAACCCGACTCGTGCAATTCCTGGGACTTCGTATCGTTAAGGTGGCTTAATTTCCTACGTAACCATTCTACGTTTTGTCGTCAGGAAATTTACGTCATAAATAGTGACTGCACTATTTTGTTTAGAATTATAAGGACCATAACATAGTAATTGTAATACCGATTTTCTGTTATTTTATAGGAAAATAACATTAGTTACAACAACTTTTGAAACCTAATTTTTACAACAATGTGAGGGTATGGGTATAATCTTGTTCAGAATTTAAAGTACTATAATATACTAAACTTTAATTAAAATCGTTCGGACCATGTTCTAGAAAAATTTTCCATTGTTTTATGGGATTTATGGGAAAACTAACAGAGTACCCGTCCTTCGTACGGGGTTGGCTTATAAGTTAAAAATTCTTATTGCAGTTATACTCAAGCTTTGCGTTTGCAATGGGGGAGGACAAAGTTTGATAAAATTTGCTTCTTTGAATTTACGGTATACTATGGCATTACACATCTACCATAGCATTATGTTCTACCACTTCACCTAAACAATAAAGAAAAATAAATTATTACAAATTCACAAAAAATCACAAATTTTCATTGTGCCATCCATTCCACTTTGACAGTTCTCATTGAGTATCAGAGTGTTTTGTTGCTATAGTTCAAATTAGCTGTTTACTTAAATGCAAAAAAAATATAGTGCTGCACCCTGTTGGTAAATCTTACAACTATTTAATGCTCTTGTAAATAATAGAATCAACTTTTTTAGTTGAAACAGCTGACTAAATTCTTTAATTCCATTTAAATATGAATACTAATAAGGTTAACATGGGGAATTACAGAGCCACTGGGGCGGAGCCCGAGAGGATTTTTGAGATAAGAATATGCCTATATGTTAATCGGGGATGTGGGCTATCATCATGCCAAATTTCAGCCCAATCCGTCCAGTGGTTTATGCGTGATTGAACTTCAAACAAACAAACACACAAACTTTCACATTTATAATATTAGTAAGATAAGATCATTAAAAATCTAAATAAAAACAATATTTAAATACACCTGAAGATACCATGGATTTGTACCTACATACCAAATTTCATCAAAATCGGACTGCAGGTGTGGTCTGTAGCTCTGTACACATCCACACACACATGCGGACACGGACAGACATCACTTAGAAAACCACTTTTAGCCAATTGTCCTATAGGGAAGTACCTATTACCAAACCACCTATTACCAGTGGCACGATAATGGCAATTTTGTAGAGCTTAAAAAACAAATAATTGAGTATATTGAAGTGTTTTCATGCACTTAATAGTTATGGAGAAAATTTCAAAAATCTGTAAATTTAAAATTCCCATGTTATTCTTATGGAGAATAAGTAAACTGTGGTGGTTTTCTGATTTATGAATAGATTGGCAAATTTATTTATACTAAGCTAACTCCACGACAACATCTGTGATCGTAACTGGTAGTTTTTTCTCCCGTGAACGCGGCAATACCCGTGAGTGTAACTTACAGTCTCCATGACTTCGGTAATATTCTCCTGCGAACGCAGCAACACCGTTAAGCGTAACTTGCAGTTTACGTACTTGCAGTTGTAGTTGTGTAGGTATATCGTGTGGGGATATTTGACAAAAAACACATCATATTATCCTCCCTGTAACCAGCAAACCTAGGTACTCATTACACCTGTGACATAATAATGATATTCTCATTACTCCTAATAGACATAATGATGATTTAGGCTGCCAGACAGCTATTCTGTATTAAACATATTGTATTTTTTCCCGCATGAACCCTGCGTGGTTCATGGGAGTATTTGTATTTAAATCTTATGCAGAAAATAAAGATTTTTGAACTGTGAACTGTGAACCTAATGTTACTTAATAAGATTTAAGTGAAAATCAAATCAGGCAAATGAAAATTCACTTTGTCTGCAGGTTTGCTGCGCCGGGGGTATTTTGGGTTCAGGAGAGAAACTATGGTATAGGGGGAGAAAGTAAAAATGTAGTCTAACTCAAGTGATTTGGTAATCATGTCAAAATACTACCATTGTGGGTGCTTTTGCATTGCTAGTCTATCTGTAGAGTTAATTTTATAATCACATCCACTGTTTCAATAAAACTGTATACTATCCAATAATTTGTTTCAGATCAAAGAAATGATGGCAAAAGCCCAGAAAGAGATAGAAGATCGTAAAAAGCAACTGAGTGCTCACAGAAGTGATACTCGACACAAAGGTCTCGAGCCACCTTCAGCCTCAGTGCAAAGAACTGAGGAGAAAGTAAAGAAAATTGCACAGCTTCAGGTATGGTGGTTTTAAGAACAAAGTACAAATTAATTTTATTTGTAACAATATTGGTATATAATTGTAATAATCTGTAATACTAATGATAAGGTATGCACACGTCTAAATTTTATTTATCTCAACAGATGTGTTTAATTGCTTACCAAAAAAGTACCATTTTTAAGTAGGGATGTGTCGATACCAAAATTTATCGATGCTCGTTATCGATACCGATACCTGAAAAATCAATTCTCGATACCAATATAATTTTGTTTATAGTTTTACAAAATTTTCTGAATGGATTGGTTATACTACAACAACCCTGACTGTATATCTTTCCATAACTCATTTTTGAGATAATGGAATTTTTTTTAAGTAGCTTAAATACAAAATTCATGCATCATTTAGACATCATCATTGTCCTGTGGTACTGTAGTGGCAAGATTCCATCATTTCCTCCGGTCGTGTAGATATCTCTATCATCTCCCGCGGTTGTGTGGACATCATCATCGTCCTCCGAGGTTGCAGTAAATTCATTAACTTTTTTCGGCTTTGTAGACATTATCATCTCTTCCGCGATTGCAGCAGAATTCTGATAATCTCCCACGATCGTGTAGCCTGAGTTTCACAGGTATCGGTAGGCCTACTGGAACCAAATTTTGTTGATTGGTTCTCGAGTGTCGGTGGTATCGAGAATCAGTATAGAGAATTGACACATCCCTATGTTTAACCCTCTAGGTATTTAGTGTAGGTACGAGTATTTAGGCACTTTTGCCGAGTTTTATGTAAACATCTATCTTTTATATATTTATAATACGCTAAGCCGATTTTTGTGAACTAAACTCCTCCCTCATTTTTGAAACAATTTTGATGATTAAAGTGTAAAAAATTTTCCCTGATCTGTAGTTTTGCAAAGTGGTTTTCATGTTTTGAAATCTTTATAAGTTTGGGCAGGATCTTCCATCAAAGTTGGGTTTTCTCCCATAAGATTAACATGGGAGAATCTAAATATTTAATTGGGAACTTTGTCTCCACTAATTTGAGAGAATGGCTGGGCGTAGAAACATGGTAGAGGTGTCCAAAGAAAGGTCTCGGTCTGTAGATGAGCCATAAAAAAAACAAAGTTTAAATTCTCTTGGGGCTCTGCCCCAGAGGCCTTTAAAGTTCCCTTCCCAGATTTGTTTACATTATGGTCATCTATATGTTAATACGCAAGCAGTTTTCTTTTCACAGTCATAACTCGATAACGGCTTGACGGATTTTGACGTTTGAAGTGTCAAATTAAATGTATTTTCACGTAGATGTGCAAATACGTCTCAGAATAATATACTTAAGTACAGTTAAGGGCCACAGTTTGGGAACGGCGGCGCTATCTGTTGCCAGTAGATCAAACTATCAAACTCAATTCCCTTTGTTTATAACTAAACATATGGACGTAGTTTGAAATAGTTTTTAAGTTTAACCACAGACTGCAGGACTTATTACTTCAAGAGCAAAGCCGGAATTTCATATTTTTATTTTAACATCTGTTAACTAAGTCTGGTTCATAAATCAAGAGTTTCCTAGCAAGATCTGACAACAAATTGTTTGTAATAGTTGAATTTATTTACCTTACATCGTATTTTACTGAATTATCATGTAGTTTTGGTTACAGTTCTGTGTGATGAAGTGAATGTTTGAAAGTGATTATTCACAGTGCAGTTACCCATTACATTACCATTAGAGGTGTGCGGATATCCGAAAAATCGGGTCGGATTCGGTTCGGTTCGGATACGGATATCCGAAGCCTAAATTTGATATCCGACACTATCCGGCCGTTATATATCCAACTTTTTCGGATAGACAACATATTTAGACGTTTTGGACAGAAAACTAAATCTCCATAACCACCATTAGTTTCCCAGGACAATATTACAGCAATACGTTTCCAACGACGTAACAGCAAACGACAAAGAAGCCGTATGATGCAATACCGATATCTAGTTTAGTCGTTATCAGCTGTTTTGCTTTACGATTAGATTCATCTGGAACGAACAGACATAAAGCAGAAAAGAACTACAATGGTCAAATGAAAGTCAACTCGTGCTTGTCTCCTGATACTAGGGGCGCTGGTAATAGTTTTTATTTACAGTACTGTTTTAAAGTATAAAAATCTACAGTTACATAAAAATGGCCTAGTTGCCATGGTTACTAATCACCCATGTCGTTATCAGCTTCTGTGACATAGCGCACAGCAGGTGGTAAAACTTGACAAAAATCGGTTAATTTTTATCTTTTATTTAATTACCAATGTACTTTACTGGTAGGCCTACTGTATTAATAAATTGACCGATTTCTGTCAAATTGTACACCAAATTTATTGAAATTTCAAGGTGAATATCAATAAAACAATTACTAACAAATATTTTTATTCATTTAAAAGATTGATTTATGGTATTGGGTTCGCCACTGAGTGCAGCCGAGCGGCACTAATGAGGGTTGAACCGCCTTGGGGGTGGACAATTGAAAGGCTTATCAGACCCGACCCTCCCCAGTGGTCTGGAGAAAGCTTGTAAAAAAACTATTGCACAAGCGTGGACTTGACATTGGGTTGCTTCAACTATAATTTTGTCAAATGAACTGTGATGTTTCAAAATCAAAAACAATAATTTGGGACCATACTGCATGACAATAATGGACAGCAATTGTTGGACATACAATTCATTTTTAACTAATTAAGATTATAGCCTACTATTCAAATACAATTTTAAAAATTATCTTGGTATTTTACTTGGGGTAATGAAGCTATGTAGGCTAGTGTAATTCTCGGTTCATCAAGGTTCTACTGATTTATGTTTGGCAGTGAATAAGTGTAGAATGAAATTTATAAATTCAGGAAAACACACCTTTTACAGAGTTATAAAAACTAATTGCCCTAATTAAATTGCCGATTTGAGCTAGAGCCCAGCTTAGTGCATTAGTGGTTTTCTAATCTTGGCAAACCCCAGAATGCACTTAAGGCCAATAATCCGTTCCAAAAACATAAGGAAATACAATGTGAAAATAAACTTTGTCTTGTGAGAACCAGGAAACAACATAAAACATAACCTCAAGTAAACAAGCCCAAACGTTTGACATCAGTCACCTGCTGAGCTAAAGTGTTGTGTCAAGATTTCTGGCTGCTAGTGTACTTAATTCAAGCAACCAAAGTTTATGTACACATCTTTACAGTGTTTTATTTTTATAGGTTAAAAATACATATATGCAGCTTATTATTAGCCGCGCCGAACTATCCGAATCCGAAAATATCCGAATCCGAACCTCCCAATATCCGATCCGAACCTAGCCTCAACTATCCAACCCAAATCCGATCCGAAATGAAATTTCACTATCCGCACACCTCTAAATACCATGTTTTCTGAATTAATAATGTGTGTTAATGGTCTTGAAATAACTGGGAAAACACGCTTAACAAGGGTAATTGGAATATCATCTACTCCTGTAGAAAATTTATTTTTGAGTAATTTAACCATCTTTTCAATATCTTTTGCATTGACTTCTTGAAATTTGAAACTAACACACACTAAAAACATGTCAATCGGTTCAGCAGTTTCGGAGGAGTAATTGTCACAAAAATCCTGCTTGTGTATTAAATAAGTATAGATATATATACTATATAGCCTAGTTTTAAAGTGTTTATTTGAAAAAAAGATTACTTTAAACAAAAACAAAGATATGAACACCGAAACAATTTAGCAACAAACAAGCAGAAAAACAAGCACAGGGGAAAAGAAATAGTTCGCAAACGGCCATCTTTATTGGTTGTCATGAAGCCCAGAATCTGCTGAATACTTTGGTTTGCATTGTTACCAGGACCGTTCGATGGTACTGGATTATATCGATCGTAACAGAAAGCCTGCAAAGTCGCCGTAATTACGACGATTGACCCTTCGAGGGTTAAGTCAGAAGGTCATCATCATTGTAGGATCTTACTGCTTTGTGCAAAACATTGACTAGCAATGCATTTTTGTTGTTCATTGTATCAGTTTTACCAAGCATATTGTTTTGTGTAGGCTCAGATCCAGTCCAAGCTGTCTACTGGAGTGCTCAAGGTACCTGGGCTCAACAGACCTGACGTCATATCCAAGCCTACGCCTCTGATTCTGGACAGTGAGGGCCGGACAGTGGACGTGACGGGCAAGGAGATTCAACTCACACACGTCATCCCCACGCTCAAGGTAATTGCAATCCTGAATAGTGTTGGCCTATCTCTATTTCAGTTTTAAAAAACATGCTGTTTATTCAAGAGCATTTTTATAAATTCCCCGAATGGGCAAGCTGTTGGGCACGTTTTCTTTGCTGAACCTGCTAGACAAAATTACAAAATTGTGTCAATAATTATTTATATATTAATGAAGCAGATTTTTTTAGGAGGATGATAGAAAGAAGGCTAGAACTATCTATGTTTGTCTTATTTATTGTGAAATCTCTGTGCCTGTCTAATCAAATGAATAAAGGATGCCAGACAATGCCTACTACTCTCCCGAGATAGTATATTGACTCTTTGAATTACTGTCTCTCTTTATGAATGAGTTTAACCCTTACCGCGCTACAATTATGTCGGGTGGCCTTGACTGTAACGCTACATATACCTAAAAAATATATTTTCCCAAAAGTCAAAAAGCTGAATATTTTTTTTATATAACCAACGTAATAAGCCAATATAATAGCGAACGTAGCAGAGAACGAAGTTGTCTGTGGATTCTGTAAGTAAACCAAACACCTGCGAGTTAGTTCGTCCACAGTGCTGGCGTCTCTCATAGCAGAGACCGGCAAGTGTAGGGCGCTGCCATTTTGAACAATCAGAGGGCGGGGAACGTTTTTATTGTGATTTTCCATCACGTGATATGTTCTCCAATAGCTGCTGCACTCTATCGGCAAAACTGGGAACTACAAGGACCAGCCAATGCACTCTGTATTAAAGGCGAGTATAGTCGTCTGTGGCGTTTTGAGCAAAGGGAATTTCGGCGAGTGTATCGTCTACAGCGCGGTAAGGGTAAATCATCAGACTTGTGTGCCACTGTGCATCACATTCACATTTTTACTAACTCCTTGTACTAGACAATCTAATTTAACAATAATTCTAATTTGAAGGTTGTACAATTTCTTAATTACAGTCTATGTGTATTGATCTTTCTGTTATGATAAAGCGGCTGTTTTTAGGCAAATATCAGAGCTAAAAAGAGAGAGGAGTTCCGTGCACAGTTACAAGAAAAGACAGTAGAAGATATCAGCGAAAGTTCTTTCTTTGATCCCCGCATAGGCACTAAGCCGATTGTTCGCAACAAAAGAGCACTCAAGTTTAACGAGCCTGGCAAGTTTCAGCAACAAGCAGACAGGATGAGAATGAAGGTAATTAACTGTAAAAAGAAGCAATAGTTTGATACTGGAGAGGTGGGACCTAGTGAGTAGTGGAGATTTGGGAAAACTGCTCATTCTTGCTCGAGTATTTCTTCCTTTGTGTTGTCTGTGATTTTGGTTTGAGATCGGAATGGTTTGGCAAGAGTATGAGAACAGAATTGATTTTATTGGTAATGTTGAATTATTGGTTATGTTTACAAGGGCATAATTTCTTTTTTCTAAATAAGAAGGGCAATCTATATCTTTGCTGACTCTAAACTAAGAAAAAAGTAGGGAAAATAGTTTTTACAGAATAAATTGTAATGGTTACATATTTTTAACATTAATTTTATTTAAATGAAGGCTTTTCAATGTCTCCTTTGTAGAAATCTACTGCCTGCCAGGTCAACCAATGTTTTCATTGGCATGGATTTGAAAAACTGTTTCATGGTAGGTAAGCCTCTGGATCGTAAATTGCAATATAAAAATGGTTTATGTTACCTTTTTGCGTCAAACAATCTGTGTGTAGTTAGTACAACTACAGCTGTTTCATACCACTAGGGTACATCTTCAGGTTGTCGGTAGAACGTTAGATAAAAAAGCATTCATCATAGATGAACTTGTCGAGATAAATATGTCTATATACATGAAATACACACAACAAACATTTAAATGGCACAAATTTACAAACTTGGCCAAGTGACAACACACGAGACAGGCTTCGGTGGATGTTGCGTCATGACTACCTGAAGATGTATGCATCCTAGTGGTATGAAACAGCTGTAGTTGTACTAACTACACACGGATCATTTGACGCAAAAAGCATAAACCATTTTTATATTGAAAAACTGTGTAGTTAGTCAAGTCTTCATTTATAGAGGCAGATGGTAATCCCACTCAAAACCATTCAAGAGCTCTGGTACAATATGCTGTGCATGGACGGGCGTTGTTGTGGAAAAACCTCTCTGAATTAAATGTTTGGCCACGATATCACTAACATTACTTCCACATCATATTGCACTTTACCTTATATAACATCTTTACATCAGTGTGAGATGTTCCAAAATTATCCTCTTTGTTTACTTTTCAATTTGTATATAATTTGTTTATAAACCATGTGTTATCTATCTGAACACCTAGGCCTACTACTAGTTAAATTAAAATAATATCTCTGAATTATCATATTTCAGGTCAAATTTTCCATATTTCATATTCACCTCAAACATTGTCATTTATTATTTAATAAGCTAAAATCTTTTATAACTGTAAGTTATTTCTACATTTTAAATTCTTTTACAAAGTTATTCTTCTCTTTCATTTTCTAAAATATGATTAAAATACTCTTGTTATTATATCAACCAACCATACAGTGAATAGTGAGTGACATCAAGAAACCAGTGGTAACCAATTGTAACAGATTAGTTAAATTTTACATCAAGATAATTCACTTCCTTTGTAATCCATGTTGAAGGAAGAAGTCTAATTTGAAAATATTGAAATTTTAATTTGTGATTCAACTTAAAAGTATTATTGCTGCAACTGTGTGCAGTATTGAAACACCAAGATTTTGTCTCAATTACTTATTATCATCCCTGCATCAAGAAATATATTTATTTGTGGTGAAGACAACTATAAACTTTTGGGCGAGATCCAACTGAACTTTACCTAGGCCAACCTTGTTAAAATACATTCCAAGAATTTCCAATGACTTTTGCCATTTTGAACTGAACTAAATTACCATAATATTATCTTATTGGACTCAAAATTTAAACTTTCATCTTCTTTCAAAAAGTGTCAAATTGAACTTTAATTTGTGATGAACATTAGGCCTATGCCTATAAAAAATCACACAAGTCTGCTTTGAGGCGGCACGATACCCCTAGTACCCTGAGATATAGAGAGTTTCATCATACAATTTATAATAACACTATTTGTAAATTGTGATCAATTAAAGGTTTATGTGTTTATTACTGTAAACCCTGCACATTTATTTATTTATTTATCATACACATACTTAATGAACTTTGCAAGTGGTGTAGCAAGTTTTTTTTTTATTCTCCCATTAAAAATTGCCAATAAAGAAAACATGTTATATTCTGTATAGCGCATGTAAATTTATGGTTGTGTTGTAAAAATTTATAAGGTTCTAAAATAATGTGTATATAATCATGATTGTATGTTCTTTTTCAGTATTGATTGATATGGTCTGTCATGATAGCATTATTGTTTTGTTTTTAGGCTCAGCTAGAGAAATTGCAAAATGAAATTTCACAAATAGCTCGTAAAACTGGCATTTCTTCAGCCACAAAACTAGCTCAGATTGCACCCAAGATAGAGACTCAAGTAGATGAAATACCAGGTGTAGAGTGGTGGGACTCAGTCATACTAGCTGGTGACTCGTAAGTTAGAACATTGCCACATCTCATTTAGTGTAAATGCACATTTGTTTTTAAAATTGTAAATAAATTTGCTTATCAAATACAGGGTAGGGCAATGAGAGCGCCCCAATTTATAAGTAGTACAAATGCAATAATATTCACCCTATGGATATAAATAGCACATCAAAACACAGCTTGTCATTTGCCATTTTAACTTAACAAAGTCATTTTTCCATTTCTTGAAAACAAAATCCTGCAATTGACGTTCTTGTCCTACTTGACATTACTTTTTAGTCACTTGAAAACTCCAACAAATACTCCTCCAGCATTTCTTCAGGAATCACTTTAGTTTTTGGACAATTCTTACCTTCAGTTCAAGCAAATCTGTGGGGTGACTTTGAAAAACCTCAAACTTCAAGTAGCTTATTAGAATAAACCCCCCCCCCCCCCAAAAAAAAAGGAGCCAACGTAATGCTTTCAACAAAAAAAGCTTCCTGGCAAATCTCTTTAGACGTTGAGTTACTGCGACTCCCACTTCTTCAACATTTGCTGGTGTACAAAGAAAGAGTTTTGCGGTACCCACCGATTATTTTTAAGGTTTAAGCGTTTATCCTAAATAATTTTACCCAATTCACCATTGTTTTCCAATCTGGAACAGCGCCACGTTGACCAAGGATAAACTGTGGTTCAAACAATCTCTGGGTTTTTGCACAAGAATCACTATTTTAAAAATAGGTTTTCACATCAAAATCACAGCTAGTAATATTTATAATACCCCCGCCGCAGCAAACCTGCCGACTAAGCGAATTTCCATTTGTCTGAATTGATTTTCAGTTAAATATATTTTAATAACATTAGGTTTAACGAGTACCTAGGTTTGCTGCTACAAGGAAACTAATAAAGTGTGTTTTTGAGTAAAATATTGATAGCTTAGTACAAAATAAATAAATTTGCCAAGTTTGATCAAAATATATCCATAAACAAGCAAACTACAACATTTGACTATATTCTCCATAAGAATAACATAGGAATTTTAAATTTACAATTTTTTTAATTTTCTCCGTTACTAATAATTGAACAAAAATACTTTTATATACTAAAAAAATTGTTTTTTTAAGCTCTTTAAAAAGGTCTAAAGAGAAATCGGGAAATTTTGTGTTTTGAGGGTCAAAAGTGAGAAAAACAAATTTTTACCCCATAAAACCCCCCGTAAAGCCCCGTTCCCATGGTCCGATCGTGCTGGTTCGCGAACTCATTCAAGTTTATCCCGCTTTACACCTTTAAACCAAATTTAATCAAAATCGGACAAAAATTACTCAAGTTATCGCGTTCAAGGACGTATATATATATATATATATATATATATATATATATATATAGATACATATACTTTTGTGCCCACCCGGTTTGGCAGTCACCGCGCTGGTAATTTACTCGGTGTGGCAGTCACCCGCCCGAAAGCCAGTCAGCTCTCCCAAAAGCCAGTCAGGTATGGCTTCCCGTGCACTTTATACGTTTGAAAACAGCTTAACCGGTGCTGCTGCCTGTGTCGATAAGCGTAACTGCAATACCAATGCGAAGACTGTCTCATCGTGTGTTCTATCGTGGAGTAGTGTAGCCAGTACGGCACCCTCCTCGTCTACTTTGTAGCGGTAACACCCAGCGGTCGGTAACCTTCGTTTACTCCTTGTTACTATTGATGTTGGGATAGTGATTAACTACGTGTTAATGTTTAAACATGTTCATATTCCAAATAAAGATGATGCACCTCTAATAAGGAACTACGAATATTAATTAATTATAAATGGTTGAATCTTAAAAACCTACCCGGTCATCATCCCAAATTTTAAGTTTTATTTTTTCCAGCTTCAGTAAAAATTTTAATTCAATATCTCCTTTATTGTCGTACAATATTTACAGTGTGTCCATGGACGGAAGATCGGGAATTATACGGATTTTCTTTATCTCGGGAAATATACGTGAATCTTCTCCGAGATACGGAAACTGTTTTTTTACGTTATTGCGTAACGCGAAGGAGGAACTAATACATGTGGCAACGATATTATTCTATCTGATAAGAATAACTACAAAACTACACTCGATAGATAAAAGATGTTTATAATAATTTTAATTTTACAAACAAACCATTACAGGAATTCTATTTTGGGACGGATGAAAGATAAGGAAGCAACAAAAAGTGGTCACGAGTGCTAATATGGGGGGGGGGGGGGGGGGGTGAGGTGGGGCTATAGAATACAGGGGGGAGGGGTACACCATGACAAACGCCAGAAACGATTATTTGTTTACTTTTCAGATTCCTTATCAAATATCTCTCTCTCTCTTTCTCTCCCTCTCTCTCTCTCATTCCCCCCTCTCTCTCTCTAACAATGTACAGTTTGTGGACTTTACTATTTAAGTTTCCCTGAAATTATTTCAGTTCAATCCTATACCTATCCTTATGATTTCCTTTCTATTGTTTTTTTTTTATTTTTTTTATATAAATAGTAAAGCTGGCTAAACTGTTTTTTTATTTTGTTTTCTTGAAACCAAACACTCTTTACCATCCGGTATTCTGCAGAGTAAAATGTTTAACACTTTGTTTATAAAAATTGAACGGCCTCACAATTTCGTGATTTATTTTTTTTTTAAGTAATAGTAACTTGGATAATTATATATACCAACTAGCTGTAACCCGCGGGCTTTGCCCCGTTTAACTTCTAAATTTTCAAGATTATCTCGTTCGCATGGCTCAATCACGTCCTGGTTGAAGTTTGTTCGCTACGCTCACTCACCATTAGGTTGGAGCTCGTTCGCTGCGCTCACTTGCCTTCAGGTTAGCTCGTTCGCTACGCTCACTCGCCTCCAAGTTAGCTGTTGTCATAAATGTAAAAGAAATAATAGTGCTGCACCCTGTTGGTAATCCTTGTAACTTTAATGCTTTTGAACATCATAGAACAGAACCAACTTGTTTAATTGAAACAGCTGTTAAGATTCAATAATTCCATTTCTTATAAGGTTAACATGGGAAACTCCAGAGCCACTGGGGCGGAGCTCGAAAGGACTTTTGAAATAAGAATATGCCTATATGTTAATCGGGAATGTGAGCTATCATCATGCCAAATTTCAGCCCAATCCGACCAGTATTTTTCGCGTTCACTTGTCACAAACATCCAAACTTTCTCATTTATAATATTAGTAGGATAAGTGCTGCAAGCTGGAATGAATGCTTCTGTCTAATGTCAAAATAAGTTATGAATTAATTTTTGATAATACATCGGCCATCGAATACCAACTATAAAGTGATGGGGTTTTCTATTTGAAGCTTAAACTTGCAAATACATTAGAACCTCGCTCAACTGGGATCGGATCAACATGATGCCTATATATTATATAACCTCAGAAATCCCAAGAAAATGTTTTATGAATTGTGTTTTTCAGTCTAATATTTCGATATGAACTATATATCTATTTACGGCAATTTTTATCTGCAGTAGGTTCCCCATCATTGAAACATTACAGTTCATTTGACAAAAATAAGATGGAAGCAAAACGGAGAAATATCGATCAGTAGCTTCAAGGTCAAGCTATACGCTCGCACCTACAGACTGACAATCTTGCACTGACACTGACATACTGACAATCGTCTGCTCCTGTCTGCTGTCACAACACTACAACATTTTGTGGTTGGGTCGTTGGGTGATTAGTAACCATGACAACTTGTGGATGGAAAGAAACCAAAGAAAGAATAGAACAAAGAGAAATAATAAAAGGGGTTTTACATCATTGTTATCTTTATCTTATTTTTATCACTGTTGTTATTACCAGAAAGACTTTAAGTACAGTACTATGATTTTATAGTGTTTTATGAGTTATTTAATATTTTTATCACCATACTTCTGTTCTGAAACATCATGTAGTAGTAGCCTATGATGACTACGATATCAGTAGTCTACTAGTCTAGATTTCCTTTTGCTTTGTTCTTTACGTGTTTTATTGCTGTACAGTAAGCAAGTTTTGTTTTGTTTGAGTAAGCACACGGTGTAGTTTTTATTACTGAACCAAGGTTAATGACATAACATATCATGGTTGCGCAATACCTATTGTATTTTGACTATGTAAAATGCAAATTTATAATCACGTTAACGTCCATTTTTACAGAGTGTCCCGGAACGGCATTGTTCCTGAGTAAGCACACATCTAAATATCATATTTAAATTTTCCAGAAGTCCGTAGTTACTTACACAGCTAAAGATTTTTGGGCCTAAATCATTTGAAACCTGTACATAACATATTTTTGGTCGAGTTTTCGACCACTGGACCACCACTAGTTAAATATAATTGTATTACAACAATCTTTATAGTAAGCAATATAAGCTTGAATCGGACTTATCTGCCTTCAGCTAATCCATCATATGATAGTACGTTAGAGAGTATGCCCATGCTGAAGTTTTCTTATACTTGAAGAATGACTTTATTTATTACTAAGAAATAAATCACACCTCTTTCATACACTGTACTATGCTGTTTTAATGCTTTGTATGTAGCGGACATATTTTGATCCAGTGGCGGGTGTTTGGTGTTTTGAATACGAATACTGAATGGCTCGTTTTAAGATCGTATCATTACAAATCGTATCATTTTAAGATTTTCTTACACGAGAAATGCATTTTCCACTTTTAAATTTCTCAGGTACAAATTTTATGAAATAACATTATTGCATTGTTTGACAATAATATTGTACTTAGGAACTGAAATAAAATTCAGGAGGTCAGTTATCAAACATACAATAGCCTTAAATAACGTTAAGTATTACTAATTGACGTTAATCAAAACCAGTAGTCAATATTTAGGTTTGTTGCACTAGATTTAGACACTTTACTTTATTTTGGTAAATTTTAATTACGTTACTGATCAAAAACGCAAACTGCGGACTTGCATTTGCTATTTTATATTCAGGTCGGATTTATTTAAAACTAAACAAATACGAACTCATTCGTGGTCCAAAAATCCCCCTCTTCCAAGTAAGGCTATAACGGCACATTACAAAACGAGAAAGTTGAAATTCTCAGAACTCATCTGAATGTTCGTCTACCTCTTGGCGCATCCCTTGCAGTGATTCAATGGTGTCAGACTCCGACCAGCTTGTCGTGTGTCGAGTGCTCGAAACTGTGCAAATTTGACTAGTAGAGTAGCAGTCATCTTCTATAGAAATAAAATTACAGTTTTGTCTGTCCATTGCGTAGAATCATGCAGTTTTTTTGGTTATTTTTACGTGTCATAGCCTAAGAAAGCCGAAACGAGTATCATCTCAATTTCTGTCTGTCTGTCTTTCTGTCATTCTGTATGTACCGACAAAATGTAAATTTACGCTGCCTACTCCGAGAAAACTAGATTACGGTATGCTATAGTATGAACATCTAACATATACATAATAATGTTTAATGTTCTACCGCTGCATTTAAACAGCAGAAAAAAATAAATCACCAAAGATTCTCACAATACGACAAATTATTTATAAATAAAAAAACATAAGCATAACTGTAAACAATCCTATTTTGTCACTTCCAATTGTGTATCAAAGGTTTTTGTTGCGGCTTGGTTCAAATTAGCTGTTGTCATAAATGAAAAAAATAATAGTGCTGCACTCTATTGGTAAACCCTATAAATCCTTAATGCTTTTGAATATCATAGAACCAACTTGTGTAATGGAAACAACAGGTAAAATTCGTTAATTGATTTCAAATATGAATACTGATAAGGTTAACATGGTAATTCCCAGGGCCACTAGGGTGGAGCCCGAAAGGATCTGAGCCCGAAAGGATCTTTGAGATAAGAGTATGTCTATATGTTAATCTGGAATGTGAGCTATCTTCATATCGAATTCCAGCTCAATCTGACCAGTAATTAATGCGTAATTGAACTTCAAACACACAAACTTTCACATTTATAATATTAGTAAGGTTAGTAAGATAGGATGTATTAATTAAATATTGATTACTAGCTGTGTGCCCGTTCTACGCACGGGGATCTTATAGTGGTCAGTTATATAAAAAACAGCAGATGGTTTGCATATTTTCAGATATACTGGCCAAACTATTATATAGAAACAAATACAGTATAGGACAGTTTCAAGTAAAAAAAATGCGTAATAAGACTCTATGTGGGGTACACTTTTGTATCTGATGGCACACACAACTAAATGATTATTCGATTGTTTAATTCGATATATCGTTTGGTTAGTTAGGTTAGGTTAACCTTACATAACTAACCAAACGACATAAAGTTAAAATACTATACCTCAACCTCGCCATTAAACATTCAGGTTGGAAATTTCACTATCAAAGGTGCTCTTTTCCTGTCTGTATGGAACACTGAGTAATATGCGCTACCAACTTATAAATAATTGTTTAGGCCTACGAACCCAAGAGATGGGCAATTGGTCTATTGGCTGTATGGTCCAGCGAGCAGCACATAGCGTTGAGAAGACACATCGGAAAAGCGATTTGAGCATAATCCGTAAACCTCTGTTACAATCACCCACTGCAGTTGTCACTGTACATTTTACACAACCACCATTCAAGTGCCGTCAATGAGTTAAAACCTTTTGTGTAAGCTATTGGTAATGCTTATTTAAAAAAATATAAGTTTCCCAGCCATACAGAACACTGATTCAAGGTCTTTTCCCCGGTTATCAAAACTCAATAAAAATGTTATACACAAAGAAGCTCTTTTTTCATTTACAGTTACCCTACACATTATTGCACTTGCGATTAATTAAATCCGTTATGTAAGGAAACACGGTTTTAATCCAACTTAGGTTGGATTTGCTTTTGAAACGTGATCGGAAACGATTGCGGTATTTGTAAACAACATTCAATGGAGACATATCAGTGACTGCTACAGAAAAATAATCTTGATCCGAACAGCTGTTCGCTATTTCATAGATGATTATGTGATAAACATTGTGAGAAAACTTGACAAAAATCACACAAAATTGGGGTTTTAAACGTCTGTAAGTTTTTTTTACAAATTAGTGAGGCCATATTTTAATAGCTAAATACACTTTTGCCAATCCAGTGAACACATTAAAATGATTTGGATTTTGATAGGTACTCTTGTTTTTTTAGGAGAAGGCCGTGTAAAATGGCTTTTGGTCCGTGACAGACAGACAGAAATTGGGATGAGACTTGTTTCGGATTCTTGAATGTATAAAACGTAAAAATAACCTATAAGTACAGACAAAACTCTAATTTTATTTATATAGATTTGTACCTCTGGTGATTTTTATTAGAAGTTCATTGAAGTAAATAACGAACAATTTACAAACCATCCAACCAGTGTTTTTATTTAAAAAGTACGTAGGCCTATTTGATTGGCTTTGTTTTCTGAACTAAAATATCTATTTTCTGATCTATTTTGAGTTCCTGGTTTCGAAACATAATTTGGTAAAACAATTATTTATTCATTAAACAACTTGATCGGAAAATAATTTCTTAACATTGGAGGACAATTTTAATCATAAAAAACTTATGAATTCTAATAAACCTAGGCTGTACCTTCTGCTGTACCCGTGTTTTGCATCGGAGAGGATTTTGAAGAGAAAAAGTTTGATACACGTCATATATATCAAATCCCACTCCAAACACGTCATGTTAATACGTTTACTTCCTTAAATTAAGAAAGTCACAATCTCCAATTAACAGGCTCGTAGCAAAAATTAAAAGTTTCACAATTCCAATAGTCTCTACCTTTTGGACCGTAAAATCAAAGCATTGCACTTACAGCTGACTTCGTTTAACATTCTGTTATCTACATTCTTCAAAAATGTAAACATTGTGCAACTTTGAAATGCCATGCGGCGTAACTCAAAGAAAACACGTTAAAAGTAATCGGTATATGTGTCAACCAGGTACAGGGCTACCTCTTGAATTTATATAGATAATAAATCGAAAAATGAAGAAAATATAAGTTGATTGATTATTGGCCGTTATAAGATAAACAATCACGAAACATGATTTGATTAAGTAACCACACATCACTGAGTCTATATCTTCATTCTCATGTAAAAATCGCTTCGATTGTGGCTATATATAATAGGGAAGTAAGATTTCACTGTACAACGAGCTCAGTAAGCTCGAGAACCAGCAATAAGTTGGAAATAACCGGCCGAACCTTTAACCATCCACTGGCTCGCTAGTCGCTACCCCAGGTCGGTCAGTAGCCCATCAATGGAACCCGTTAGGTTCGCCCCTGCCTCTCGCCGCAAGAGAGACAAGAATTTTGCTTGTTCCCCCCGCCTTCGATTGTTTGAGGCGGTAAAACTATATATGTGCTACGGCCCGCGCAACACAGGATATTGTTTTCGTATTATAACTGTGAACGTTAGCTTTTATGCACTCCCTTGGAGAATAATTCAAAACTGCAAAGAACATTTTATAATCCCACAGTATACTAGATATTTAAACTCTAAATACTTTGGTTGTTTGAAAAAATATTTTTGGACGATAAATTTTGCAAATGTTTGAAATTACCCAAGATGGCCGCTTGCCTCCAAGGACTCAATAATAGGCCTACTTGTGCGACTACAAAACAATAACTCTCCCCCCCCTTGCGCTTGCTAATTAGCTCGGTACATATTTGTATCCACAGTTGGCAGGACAATAGCCATTACGATGACCAAAGATTACATTGGCATTTAGGTATTTAACCTGTAGAATAGTAATTTTTAAGTAATCTGGAAGACAACTAATTAAAATGAAGTGCGAAAGATTGGTTATGAGAGTGCTCAATGCTTGAAGCATTATCCGTTTGTTTGAGGTGCGGATTTTCAAGCTTGTAGAACAAATAAATATTATAGAAAGTAGAAGGGCAGGGGTGAAATTGACTGAAGTGACGGGATACCCGGTGGATTTTCAGTGACTGGATTCCAGTGGTATGCGGTAAAATATATAGTGACTGGCTTAGCAGCACAAATTTTACGTGACTGGCTTTCCCGTGCAATTGAGGTGGTGACTGCATTAGCATAGCAGTTTTTACGTAATTATATTTTAGTATTTTTAAGAAAAAAATAGATATATACATTCAGAAATGTCTAGGCTTAAGATATTTACCAATATATATTATATATATATCATAGTCTTGAAATATATTGGGGGGTGCAACTGACTGACTTCCAGTGTATATTTCATGTGACTGACTTCCCGGGCGCGGCCGTGTATATATATATATATATCAATATATATATATATAAGTCTATATATATATATATCAATATATATATATATAAGTCTATATATATATATACATATATAAAAATTTGAACGAATGGTGTTTTTGGCCTCTGGGGACATCAAAATGAAAAAGTAAATCGGTCCCGGGTCTAGGTCTTACCGTGCCACCTACGGTAATAGCTACTTCCCTATAGGGAAATTCGCTAAAAATGACATAGTTTAATAGATGTTATAAGCACAGCTGTTCATTCACTGTTGCTTTACTTATAGTGTGACAACAAAAGAAAACTGGGGTGCTCTCACTGCCTCACCCTGTACAAACCCCTTGATGAAATAAATTGTTTCAAAATTCCTTAATTCTTTAACATACCATTATGTTTTTAACATTAAAAAAACATAACGTTTCAAGTTGTTTTGTTACAACCTGAATAAATCTGAGTTTAATATACAAAGTTGTACTCTTTAGTTCAATTTTGAGTTTGAATGTGAGACATTACAAAGTTACCCAGTATGTAGCCTAATATTAGTAACTTGAAGGTGCACAGTATTGTTGCACTCTCCATTTTTACTTTATTTATTTATTCCCACAGATACCTTGATGACAAAGGAAATCCACAACTAAAGAATTCCACCATCACCAACTTAGTTGAACATCCTATTCAAATGAAACCACCTGGTAAGCTATCATAAATATTGTACTCAAAGGAATATGGTTAGCTAACCAAGGGTAGCCCAAACTTAGAGACCGCTTCACATTCTTACTTACTCCTGTTACCATGTAAACCCAAGATATTTTTTGCCGCAATCCGTTGGTGGCTCACATCAACTACGCAGATTTTGATAAAAAATCTGGCTACAAATTTAACATGTTGATGGCATGCTCATTTGTTAATTAATAAGATCAAAAGCTTTGGACAAATCTATGTACACTCCTGTGCTGGTATAATGATATATCAGTTCCTCTTCCAGGAATGAAACCAAACTGATTCTGTGAGAATAAGTTATGTTGAAGCATGTAGTCCATGAGTTTATTTTTTCACGTTGGTTTCTAACATTTTTGAAACGCAACTCAGAAGATGAAGATATATTGGAAGATAATTTGACATTTCAAGGATATCCCCATTCTTGTACACAGGAACAACAACTGCATTTTTTAATGAACTCGGTAATAGTGTCTACTATCATCACAGTCACCATATAGTATCTGGTAATTTTTTGTGTTTATTTAGCCACAAAAGGGCCATTTAATCTCTTGTAGAGCAACAATATCCATGTCATACCTCTCAAGTCCCAACCTTTGTATTATACAGCCGGATGTGTAACTAGTAACGTATACAAATGTTTGGCCACTTCTAGATGAGCTAGAGACATGAAATCTTCGGTAGGTTGTAGGTCTAGTGCCCAAACCCCCGGAAAAATTCCGAAAAGTCACATTTTTTCCTTTCAAACCCCCTAAATTAACAATTTCCCCCCTATGTTATTCTTATGGGAAATAAAATTGAAAAAATACCAACTTTCGTACGCTCATCTGAAGCGTTTAGAAACGTGCTAGAGACTTGAAATTTGCGTAGTATTGTACTATGGGATCTTACATTACCGGTGAAATTCGTAAAAACCCCATTTTCAACATTCAACCCCCCCAACAAAATTCCATAAAAATCCCCATTTTTGGAAAAACACGTTTTTTTAAAACAGCTGTAGCTCGAAAACGGTAAGAGCTAGAATCGATTTGAGGAAAAATTGTAGGTTCGGAATTAAATCTTCTACAAGACAGTTTTGTCCGAGAAGGCGTTATCTCGAAATTCGCACTCCTTCACCTTCAAAAAACGCTCTACTTCCAAAAATTGTGAAAATTCTCGATTTTTTTACGTGTTTTTAATTTTTAAAATGACTTGTACATATATATCTACTTTTTATGCTCCCAACGTTGAAAGGAAAGTCCCCAAAGTGACCTTCAATAATTTTAACCTAAAAATAATTTTTAAATGGCGGATTTTCAATCAAAAAGGTAATTTTTAATGCATTTTCTTATGGAGAATTAGCATGCGTTGACAGGCAAACTAGACGTAAACGTCAGTAGGTGAACTATGGGCGTTTGGCGACAGAAAAAGCATGTTTGTTACTTTTAGGTTAGCTAGAGAGGGGGCCTGGGGGCGGATCTTGACTGCGAAGGGGGTCCATTCTTCATGCCGATGATTTTAACCCACCCCCTGTCCCCGAAGGGGGCCTAAGATTATTTTAAATATTATTTTACCTCACTCACTCTAGATCCTAAAATTTGATATCGATGTTTATTGGTCTAAAGAATGTTTTAGAGGTTGTGACTTAGCAAATTTAATTTATCATAGCACCGGCCCTACATCGAGACTCCAACATGTCAAGACTGGTTTGGTTTGCACTAAACAACCCCTCTATGAAATACTTTGCAACTGCAAAGTTATCGTTGCGTCTTTTAGGCAAAAAAAAAAAAAAAAAAAATTCCGGACAACATTCTGTCCCCGTGACAATTTCTCATCATGGCTACTATTAAAAGGGGGCCTGGGGGCGGAGCCATTCTTATGGAGAAAAACATTGAAATTTAATGACTTTGTTATGGTCATCTGAATTGTTAAGAAACGTGCTAGAGACTTGTAATTTGGTAGTATTGTAGTATGGGATCCTAAGTTAAGGGTGAAATTTGCAATAGTAACATTTTAAAATTTTAACCTTCCCAAAAATCCAAAATGGCGGACATCTAAAAACGATAAAACACATATTTTTTTTACGGCTATAACTAAAAAACAATAGGAGCTAGCCAAGATTTGAATGAATTTTCATGGTCCGGAATTAAATTTTCTACAAAACCCTTGCAGGCGTTTTCCAAAAATTTCACCCCTTAACCCCTAAAAAACGTCCTACTTTCAAAAATTGGTAATTTTTTCAAATTGTTACCGGTTTTCGCTATTTTTCATACTTCAATAATTCCTTTTTGCAAATATTATTAAGGCTTTGTATTTTCCTTGGTTTACTTTTGGTTTTACTCATACACGTTTTTTTGTAACTTTACTCCTTGACCCCCAAAACTTAAGTTTAATGTCAAAATTTAAAAGGTTTCACCACTTTTACGAGGTAATAACAGACTCTTTACCTATTCTATATGCACAAGGTTATTATAACTATACAAAGTTTACTTTATTAGAGCTAACACCAAGGTATGAATATAATAAGGACCATTTGAAAATTCCCCCCCCCCCCCCTCCAAATCCCCCTTATATCTATCCTATAGCCACCACAGATGCATCGTTCTAAATCACGTTTACCCACTTCTAGATTAGCTGGAGATCTGTTTTCTTTTTAATATTGTTGGTGTTGTGCCCTTTTCAAAAAGTGACATTTTACAATGATAACCCCTCCCTCCCCCCGACCGAAATATTGAATTCCCCTATGCCATTCTTACTGTCGAATTTGGTATGCGGATATTACTACAATAAAGAACAATGTTACCTTAAATTAGGAAGAAAATTTTCAAAAGTGCCATTCTTTAATAATAACCCCCCCCCCCCCTAAAAAAATGGCGGACTTCTGAAAACGACATTACAAGTGTTTTTAAACTTCTATAACTCAAAGCCCCTATTTAATAAACTCCTATATTAAAGGAGTTTAGAATTTTTTTAAATGTACCCCCCCTCAACAAATAATAACCTCCCCACCCTTACAGTTCTTGAACCACTGTATTTCATCGGACAATGGACTTCAAATCTTTCACAGTTACTAGTATTTGTTTTGAAACCAATGAATAATTTGGAAAAGTGTTTTCTAGATTAAGTGGAAATCTGAAATTTGGTACGGTTTTAGGTATTGCGCCCATTACAAAAAGTTAAATTTTACAAATACAACCCCCCCCCCCCCCGAAATATTAAATCCTCCCCCCCCCCCAATGTTATTCTTGCAGGCGCATAAGTCTAAATAACGTTTACCCATTTCTAGATTAACTGGATATCTGAAATTTAGCACGATTGTAAGTCTTGCGCCCTGTCCCCTGTGGCTCATTTGTACTTACCCCCAACCAAAAAAGGGGGCCTCCAGCGAGCCAAAGGCGAGTTCTTAATATACAATGTCAAATTATCCTAGCACTGCTATTATAGTCCTAATATTCCAGGTTCCAAATCATATCCTTAATACTGAGCCGGGACTGTCTTCCAAAAATTCCATCCTGTTCCGAGGCGTTTCTTTGGGGATTCGTAACAAAGGTTTTTTACAGAACAGGGTTGTTGGCCCTGTGTCCAACCCCCAACCTGGATGACCAGGGTATTCCTTTTCGTATGACTCCTACCTCACAAAGACCTGTCCGGCAAGGGAGGTCCCTACCAATATCTACGCTACTGCTGGCATAGCTCTCGAGATTGTCAGAACACGCAAGCCCCACTGCTGAGACAAAGCAAGAATACCTTCGGGGGTTAGAGACCGCTTTATTATTTATAAAGTTGTTTTAATTTTATGTAATTAATTTACCTTTTCCCCATGGTAAAACCTTTGACTATTAATACTTCTGTATTCAATAGTCAATGGTAAAACCTTGTGTAGTCCAAATTAGCCACTACAATTCTTTACAAATGATGTTTGTCCCAATCCAACTTGCTTAGAAATAAAAAATATAATAATCAGGCGTTGATTGTATTACAATGAAATAGGCATTGACTTATAATAGATTACCTTAAAGTTTTAAGAAAAACACCAGTCATATAACAGTCATAAATTCTTATACTGCTCATTTTCCAATTCTTAATTATTAAATTAAACTACTGAGCTAAAATCAAAGGACAATCCAAAAGGACATTGATCTTTCTCTTCAAGCTACATCACAATCTGTGATTCATACGAAATCTTATTTGTGAAAAAAAAGTATACAATTTCAATGATAATAAAATATATTTATTATTTATTTTCAGCTGAACCTTCAAAACCAATCCACATGCATGTATTTTTGACAAAAAAAGAGCGTAAAAAACTAAGAAGGCAAAATCGCCGAGAAACTTGGAAAGAAGAGCAAGAAAAAATCAGATTGGGACTTGAACCTCCCCCAGAACCCAAAGTAAGTGCAATATTTTATCATACTCAATAGTTTTCCTCAATTAATTTAAGTTTTAAACAATGTTTAATATGACTTAAAGAAACAACATCATATCCATATATAAATCCCAAAGTACCCATCTACTTTTGAAAAAACTAAGTCACACCCCCCATAAACCATATACTTAAAATGTTCGTCATGACGAGAAACCTTGCACAAAACTATCCATTATTTCATAAATTGTAATTCGGTTCTAAAGGGAACTTTCCATATACCTAATGTTAAAAAATAATTTTTAAATAAAAAACTTTTTTAAAACAAAACGTTTTAAAAACGCACTAAAAAGTAGAAAATAATTTATAAATATGCGGAGATTATAAATACTTGTAAGATTTAAAACGAAAAACGTGGGGTGCATGCAATAGATAATTTACAATTAATTACCTTCACCTATTGAACTAACGTATTATTATCAATTGCATCCACCCCACGTTTTTCGTTTCAAATCTTACATTTCATTTACATTGTAATACGCTATAATCGTGTTTGTAAATAAATTATTCTTGTTTCTTTGTATTTTTTATAACCTTTTGTAATGTCGCATATTTGCGACGCCCTGTCTACAGCAAAGAAAATAGTGAAAATTATCACAGTTTTCTTAAAATTGACTAAACGTCGCATATATGCGACAGTTAATTTTTTTGTGTTTTAAGGTAAAAGTAAGTAAAAAATAAACAGATTATTCAAGAACAGTTTATAACAGAACAAATATAAAAGCTACATAGGATAATGCAGCATATATACTGCATACATACATACAGTGATGCAGAAAAGTAAAGACCAGTTTTTCCAACTATTATATGACGTCACCAATCATCATATCCACAGACCAAGCGACACAGTTGTGCGTCAGACATCTCTGTAGACCACTTCAGTGCCTTCAAATAGACCACTACAAAGATATAAACATTTTAATATTAGAACCCCGACGCAAATATGCGTCGGCAGTCTATTTTAATGTGACTAGCCGTCGCATATATGCGACAGCAGTCTATGGGTGGAAACCGGCCGTCGCATATGTGCGTCGCTGGTCCATGTGAATGGAAAATTTTGTACTATTGCAGTAGCGAACGTGTTAATTCGAATTTGAATATTTCCCCTGGTCCCTAGCATTTTATATATTACTAGGTGAAACCCGTTGAAATCAATGGTTACTTTCTAGTCCTTTGTCACATCGGTCATCCTAGCGTTTTACTGTACCAATGAATAACCCTCTAGCATAGTTTTGAGAAATTGTTCGTGGGGTTACTGTTAAAGCTGGAATTTCTAGACATTCGGATGTCAGTTGTCTCAGTCTTATCAATTAAATAAAGTTGTCAATATAATCTATCTACTGAATGTTAGGTGTAGTGGAATTTACTTGTAGGGAAGCTGGCTTTTATTCGGGCATGGTTCATATGGTCGTGCGGCTTCATTGATAACAAATAATGCAAATGACAAAGCAATGCTGCATTTCCAAAAAGCAAATACTATAAATAGGCTGATATGTAAATATTGACGTTTACATGCATTGTTGTTAATCAAGGTATCTTATAAAGGATGATGAAATCTATTTTAAAAGGAACATGACCTTTCTGTCATGACAGTAGCTGCTTAAATGGTAATTACTCTTTGTGCCATTTTTTAAAGTCAAAGTGTAGTGTTATTTTTAAAAATCTCACGAGCGGGCCACGGTTCGTAATAGGCCACTGAAAATCATCTGTCAAGATAGGTACTATTTCAGGCAAGGTTTCTGTGTTTGGATGTTATTAGACACGATAAAAGCACAATTATTTTCTTCTGCAGATGAATAATCTGTTGGTTAAGAGTAAGATAAGCTGAATTATAAATAACACAATCTGAGCGCATTAAAATGGTTCTTGGCCTGAACTTTTTTGTAGTATCAAGTTTGAGAAATGTTTTATGCAATTGTCTGAGTAAGTTAGTGTTTTTTAGGCTGCTGCTCGGTGCAGAATATTTTTTTAGAGATAAATTAAATGGTTTTTGTTTCTGAGTAGCGCTAGTAAACATGCACAGCCCCTTTCGTTAGTCTTATAACATTTAAAGGTTCAAGTTCTTGTATACATATCTATATTATGTGTTCACTAAGCTGAATGAATATATCGAAGTAACCTCTCTGAAAACTCTGCAGTAAATTGCAATTTTCCAGCTTAATGACTTTCTAAGTCATGCACATATTTATTTCAACATAAAAGTTATTAAACATGTAATCCAGTTGTGGTAAACCACTATTAATTTATCAAAATATGGACACGGCTCAAATGGGCAATGTGCCCTTCTGCACTTGTATTATTTGGTATTGTATTACAAAACCAAAAATCCTTTCAATGATTGAAAACATGTATGACAATGGACAATAATCTCATAAACCTATAAATAAAGACACCTGTCTTGAAAAATGTGATAAAATATAGGCAAAAGTGGTCAAATATGCAGACACCAACCAGTACAATAGATATAGATATAAGATAATTCAAAGATAAATAATTTTAAGAGTTACTGTGATGTTAAGATTTTCCACCGATTTCGTAATTGAACGTTATATTGCAAAACATGACATGATGCAGAAGAAAATCAATTTTTAAATCAGAAAATAGCATTGCAAATATTTCTTTTTAACTAAATTCAGTAACTCCCTATAATATACAATTAGTGAACCTGTGCGGTTCAATGCCCCGCAAAATGACATATGAATCTAGAAAACAAATTCATCGTATTATATATTGACTCGACGTCGAAAATTAAATGCAGTAATAATGAAGCCTTGGAAGGGAAGCAGTTCAGCCATTTTCTAGCTGTATGTGTATTATATTTAGTAAATTAATAAGTGTTCAGGTTCAAGTATGTTATAGGCAGTGAGCAAGGTTATAGGGTAGTTATTTTTTAAAGATTTTTAAAACACATTTAACAAAACATTTTATCATATCAAACCAATAGGCCTGTGTAGCATATTTTGAGGGTCATAAAAATGCTGCTTGAAGAAAACACACTTTTAAAAATAAACACTAAAAAAACAATATTTTTATCACAAAATCAATTCCATGAATTCTACGATTTTAGCCTTAAAGTTACCTTCAGAAAGATTACCCTGGTCAGAGTTTTCCGTAACGAATATGCGTATCCTATTAAAAGATGTAGCCTTACTTAAAACAACATATAATATAGTTGCTCATGACTCAATTGGTCTGGGTAAGAACAGCGCTGCAAATGCCAAAGGTAACAGAAATTAGTATCTTTCCATTTTGAAAGGTAAGTTTGTTTCAGACGGGTAAATTTTTATCCTCGAAATCAAAATATGTCTCCACTCACTTGTTCCAGTTAAGACTTTACATTCTATTAAGTTGTTAACCATTGATTCTGATCACATGAAGCCTTGTGCCATTAATAAGGCCCTTTTTGATATATTAATATTCCTCATGAATAAAACCACTGCCCCCTTTTATTAGTCTAATCTGTTTCTTGGCAATCCACTGACCTCTATATTTAAAAACTCAGTTGGATTTTCTAGATGGGTGTCTCCGCCTTCGTCTGTTTTTAAGGACCCACTCTTCTTCCCCTTGGTATACTGACAATTAATTACCTGACTTGTCAAGTTCATGTAGTAATTCAATAATACTGTTAGTTTATAAAGAAAATTAGATAAAAGTTACTTGGCTTGGTGCTTTCATAACTGCAAACTCAAAATACACCCACAAGTAAAAAAGAATGGTTAAAAAAACTATGTGTAATAACATTATTCACATGAAGTAGATGATTTGTTTGATTTGTCGATCAGCTGTTTAGTTTCAAATGAATTAATAATGTCAAAGATTTGTGATTTAAATACATAAATTATTATAGTAAAGTTTTCTAAATAAATCATGGTAACTTGTTCTCCACTAAATTTTACTATTCCCAGCATTAAAATAAAGTATTAAGATCCATTATGGGTAAACTTTAAGGTACACAATCCTTGATTGAAATGTAGTAGGTATACAGTAAGAGTCATAATACACATCAATTATTATGTAGTAGACTTTGACTATTTTCAAGTAGCAAACATATGTTTCTGTAATTAAAAATTATCTCCCTTGTTATCCTTATGGAGAAATATGAAACTTTAAAGGGCTCCAGGGCCTCAATATCTCATTATTTCCCTAAAAAGAAAGTTTCCTGCACAACTTCACGTTACCCTCTTTCCAATGACACCAAAAACATGTCAATCGGTTCAGTAGTTTCGGAGGAGTAATTGTCACAAAAAACCTGCTTGCGTATTAAATAAGTATAGATTTAAATATTAACAGCTGTTTCATTAAAAAAATAGTGAAAAATTATCCATATGACAATAATGTAAACAAATCAGTGGAGGGATCTTTAAAGGCTTCTGGGGCAGAGCCCTAAGCGAATTTACTTCGTTTTTCTTTTGATAACTGATCTACAGACCAAGACTTTTTTTGGACACCTCTATCAAGTTTCTACGCCCAGCCGTTCTCTCAAATTAGTGGAGACAAAGTTTCCAATATATTTAGATTCCCCCATTTTAATCTTATGGAAGAAACCCAACTTTTATGGAATATCCTGCCCAAACTAATAAATATATCAAAAAACAAAAAACACTTTGCAAAACTACAGATCAGGGCCATTGTTTTGACATTTTAATCATCAAAATCGGTCAAAAAATGAGGGAGGAGTTCTGTTTACAAAAATCGGCTTAGCGTATTATATAATGGATTAATGCCAAATAAATATTGTGGTTGATTCAAATTATAATTTTGATGATTCTAAGCTGAAATCAAATCAAATATGCTTAATTCATTAAGAACAATTTTGTACATTAGTCTATTTTAAATTAATAATACAGAACCAGCGAATGAAAACAGTCATAACTAAATCAATTATGACTAATGCAAAGAGGGTGGAAAAGCACTCTTCCAAGGAATAAAAAAGCTTTCTCCACCAGATAAAGTTTAAGTTCCGTGTGAAATTCTTATTGCTTTGTTCATTTTTAATTTTACTAGGAAGATGCTTAAGAAATTTTAATCCTATATAGGATGTTTGTTTTATTAGAATTTTAATTTATGTTTTTTTTAAACAAGGAATTTTGTATGCCGAATGTTGTAAGGGTGATAATTTGTTTAGAGGTGCTCAAGCGATTTTTTGCTAGGATGATTGTCTTAAATATATTGGTTGTATACTGTTAAAATTTTCAGTTCTTTGAATTTATTTTTGGTCGTATCATTGTGTTGTGTTCTAATATCAACATCATTCTGATTGCTATTTTTGAAGTTTAAGTATCCTATCCAAATTAGCTATTGTAGTTGAACCATAAAAGGCACAAATCATAGGACAAATGTAAATGGCTATTAGCATAATATATGATTTTTAGAGTGTTATGGTTAAAAAAATAAGACATTCTAGAGAGTGAATATAGTCCTGAACATAATTTTGAAAGAAGTTTATCATCATGTTCATTCCAGTTTAAATTTTGGTCCACTGTTAGACCTAGAAACTGGGTACTGTGTTTATGTTCAATTTCTTCTGCATAAAGTATATATGTAGGCTAACTGGTTCAATTAAACGTTAATTTTGTTTTGTTTTAAAAGTTACAAAATTAGTTTTTTGGATAAGGCTTCAATTTATTTTGCTCTAGAAAGTTTCCAATGTTAGCCAATTCAACACAACTTAAGATTTCAACTTGTTGCACTGACTCGGCCAGTACTTTGAGATTTCTGAGTGTACCACCAGCATCATTAATATAACACTAGTGTACATGTTGCTCGAATTCGAGCAATTGCAAAGTATTACAGGAGATATTTCAAAACGAATAACAGTCATATTTACAATGAGTTTAAAAGAGTCAACTCGAAGATTACCGGTGTGTAACTCAGACCATGTTTATCTTCGTTATTGATAAACCTAAAACATTCCGGCCGGTTTTCTCCTTCTCAAAATGTCTCGCTGTACAGGCAACACAGGTCATTAAAAGAGGGCCAATTGAGAACGAAAAGTCGTTTTGGGGTAGTGTTAGGGGGCATTTGTAACCTAATAGTTGAGATTGTCCATTGTCAGGTGCTGACTCTGATGAGTTAAGCCTATTACGCACCACTGTTCTGTAGCTGCGGTCGTTATCACGATTACACCTCCTGTCTATGTTTTGTTATCGCCGCGTCGGAGTCATTTAAAAGAAAAAAACAACAAATAAACAAATTATAGCTACCCAAAACAACGATAAATGCACAAATTTAAGTTAAAATCATGCTAACACGATCCGTCATAGCTACACAAAACAACGATAAATACACCAATTTAAGATACAACCATACTAACACAATCCGTCTTGGGGGTTATGTTTACATAAACCCAAATAGTAAATAAATGTACTCAATGCGTTTCATTGAATTGAAAAATAAATAACAGCAATTAAATTATACAGCTGATCAAAATGTAAACAATTATTATGTTCTTCATAAGGATAACATGGGAACTTTCAAAGCCACTGGGGCAGAGCCAAGGGACTTTTTCAAAAATGTAAGGCTAGTTTGCAAATCTACGTGACACGCTCTTTCCAATAAGACGTCAATGGATAAAATCGGTTAAGAAATGACGAAGGAGTTCAACCGACAAAGTTTCATGTAGCGTATTAATTATATAGATAAAAACAATAGGGAACCAAGAATTGACCTCTAGGGTACACCAAATTTATCTTTTTCAGTTTCAGAAGAAATTGTTGTAATTCTGTTATCATTATTATGTATGATTACAACAAATTGACTATGATTATTTAGGTATGATTAAAACCATTTTATTGATTAAAAAAAAACCCTAATATGAGTAATTTGTCTATCAATTGGGAGTGGTATAGTACTAAGGCATAGTTCTAAGGTACTAAGGCATTTGATAGTGTCATCAAATGCCTTAGTTAGGTCCATGAAAATTCCACTTTTGAAATCCGCAGAAGACGATGATAACGTTTCTGTGATCGTGGGAAACGATTATGATGTTTCCGTTACCACTGGGCACTGAGCAATATCAGGATTTTGTCACGACCACGGAAGACAGTGGTGATGTTTCCGTTACTCAGGAAGATATTCAGGATTTTGTAAGGATTACGTAAAACGATGATGGTGTCTCTACGATGGTGGTAGATAATCACGACTACACCTCGGGTTATTCTATGACAGAAAATTACAGGATGTTACCTCTTGTGTTATAAATAAAGGTTTGATTTTGATATTCATTGTAATATCTATATTTAGTATATTTCCGTAACATGGTTTTATTTAATGTGTTTAGAAGGGTTTAAAACTTAAATTTGCTGTTTGGAATTTGTATTTTCTGCATTAGTTATTCAACTTTCACTAGTTTAAACTTAATTGTCATAGATCCATGTATTTATGTACTGTATCAATTTTTCTGCGTTGTTTTTATCACTGTTTTGATTGTAATCAGATGTTCTTCATCTTGTTCAGCTGCGCATCAGTAACTTGATGAGAGTGTTGGGCACAGAAGCAGTTCAAGATCCTACCAAGATTGAGGCCCATGTGAGGGCTCAGATGGCCAAGAGACAGAAGGCTCATGAGGACGCCAATGCTAGCCGCAAGCTCACCACGGAGCAGAGACGAGACAAGAAGATGCGCAAGTTGCAGGAGGATGTATCCTTGGAAGTCCATGTCGCTGTCTACAGGTATGCACAGACAAACATATCATTACGAGTTCAGTTGATAATTTAAAACTAGTAGTACGCTTATTCTGAGCGTATTGGGATGAGTGAACGTGAGCGCAACAATGGAAGAGTCCACCCGCACTTACCGGTGTCACTGGTGAACACAATGTTATTTGTATAGGCAAATCAACCAAATCTCAATTAACAACAATCATAACTTCTCGTCCATTAATTAACCGAAGTCTTTGGTAAAATTTGTGAGTGGATTTCTATCAATTATCGATAGAAGGTAAATCCATCGTTCCTGTAAAAATTGTCTTTTGTAAATTAATCTCTTTAAAATTATACACAACAGTTTGACCGATTAACGTTTGTTTTAGAAATGTTTCCTTATTTGTTATTAGGCCTATCATAAATAGGGGTCTGCGGGTCCCCGAATTTTTTCGGGTCGGGTTAGAGATTTGTTCGAACCAAGATCGGGTCAGGCCAAATTTTTCGGGTCGGGTTAGAGATTTGTTCGAACCAAGATCGGGTCAGGCCAAAAAAATATATATATATTTCCAAAGAAACACTCTTATATTATATCTATTATTACAGAGGAATCAAAATGTTCAGATGAGAATTAAATATTAAGTTTGCTCACAACCTTTAAGAATAAAGACACAACAGAGCAATTGCCACACTGCCACTAGCCAGAGCCAGTCCAGTCGTCTACTGACAAGACAAATGCCGTGACGCAACAGTGCAAAGAAAACAAAGTCAAAAGAAATACTATTTATCCAGAGGTTGGGTTTAATTATTTATTGTGTATTCGATACCTAGTTAAAAATATATTTAAGTATTTTACATAACAAATTATAAACAAAAGAAATATCTGATCTAGTGTAGGCCTACAGATCTGTATCTTGTTCTTTTATTTTCTTATTGTCCTTTTTATCATTCAGTAACAACACTAGTGATCGTCTGGTTCGGCATCAGCAAGTAACTCAACAAAGAGGTTAGGCCTAGTACTAATCAAATCTTTAATCAATGAGCATCCCTATAACCGAAACGCTCACAATACTTGAGCAACATCTAGTCAAACGTAACAAGTTGAATGAATCATTGATTAAAGATTTGATTAGTCTTACTAAAACAGTATTGGAGCAAAACTACTTTGAATATGACAACGAGTTTTACATGCAAAGCAAAGGTCTTGCTATGGGATCACCACTTTCTAGCATTATGGCAGATATATTTCTAAACCATATTGAGAACGAACATATCTTAAATTCCGACTACAACAAGATGGCAAGTAAGATAACATATTATCACAGATACGCAGATGACGTCTTGGTATTGTTTCACGGCAACCGCAGACAAATTGGCCTTTTAAGCAATCACCTAAACAAAATCCACCCAAACTTAACTTTTACTACAGAGACTGAAGATAATAAACAAATAAATTACTTAGACCTCACCATAACCAGAAAAGATGGCAAACATACGTTTAAAATATTCAGGAAACCTACATCTACCAACCAAATTATTCATCAATCATCCAACCACCCCATAGCCCACAAATACGCAGCCTTTCACAGCATGATAAACAGACTAATCAACGTTCCTTTATCAAAAGAAGATTACAATTCCGAACTCAACGTAATAAAACAAATAGCCTATAATAATGGATACAATCCCAATATAATAAACAAACTCATATGGCGACATAAGAACAGACAAAACGAAATAGACCGGCCTAAACCCCAGAACCAATTTGTTGTGATGACATACCACGGCCGAATTAACAATTCCATCCATAACATCATAAGTAACAAAGGTTACCGAATTTCCTACAGATCAAAAAACAGCCTATCCCAGATCCTCAACAAACCAAAGCATAGCAGAGTAAACGATTATGAAGCTTCAGGGATATATAAACTCAAGTGTGCCACTTGCCCTAAGTATTATATTGGCCAAACAGGCCGAAGCTTCAAAACCCGATACAAAGAACACCTTCCCAGAAATTCCAATACAAACCAGTCCACATACGCTGAGCATCTTATAAATCATATGCACTCATATTCGACCATAGACCAAGACCTAGAAATCCTACATAAAGGCCCAAAAAGCAATAAGCTGGACATAATCGAAAAATTCCAGCAATACTAAATCCAACCCGTCTGAAGTCCTCAATGACCAACGTAATTTCTCAGCTAACATAATTTTTGATACACTTCTGAAAACAAATAATCAATCAGACACCTAGCCGCATCAATCCAAATACATCCATCATATGTTTTTTCATTCCGTAGTCAAAAAATGTCAACATAACCTCAACCCTGACTATATTTTGACAGTTCTGCCGGCAGCGTGTTCCCTGACTGAAGTGAGGTTATCCCACTGTTTTATAAAATCATGGTTTTATCCCTAAACTACGAATATTATTTATGTCAATTGTAATGTGTGTCGTCTTCGTGTTAAATGTCAACATTTCTACGAAACCCATCGGGTGGATTTTATAACAAACATTTGGTCTACCTAAACTTCCGACTGAAGATGAACCTACGGGTTTGAAATTAATTTCGGACAACCATAATAAGGAATGCTAAGGTAAGACTTTACTAATTGATATTATAAGTCCTTACCTTAGCAATCCTGTTTATTAACAAAACAGGATTGCTAAGGTAAGGCCTTATAATATCAATTAATATATAAGCAATCCAGAGGCTAAAATGATTGATGAAGACTTTACTATTTATTTCATTGTTTTTTGTTAACATACTACTACCCTTCCTTCCGAGAAAAAGACCCTGTTGTTTCAAAAACATTGACTTCCAGTTTGAAAACATTGACCTGTGTTGCTAAGGGCACTAGTGGCCCTGCTTATGTTACCAAGTTAGCATTTAGCTTTCTTTTTTCTTGATTTAATATAATCTTAATTCTCTATATATTAGTTAAGAGTTACTTTTCGGGTACTTAATTAATTATGATATTAATTATGATACATATTGCATGGTGGAAACAAGGAAACATATTATTTTATTTTCTTCTTGCTTGCAGTCTTGAAGCCAGTCCACAGGCCCTGAACTTGTGATATGTTAATTGATTTGTTTATGATCTTTTTATATTAAGTTCCATTCAAATTTGTTGTAAAGTAGCTACCTATTTAGTTATTTCAACAGTTATCAAAATGAGAAACAAGTGTCTTGATAAAAAAAACTATTTTCTTCTTTCTTGCAGTTGAGGCAATTCCCAAGCTGTAAATAAGTTATAAAAATGAAATAATATACATAAATACAATATTTGTCATATTTTATTATCACGTAATATTATAAACACAGATAGGAGTTAAAACAAAAAAATCCGGTAGTTAATGATTTTTGGCCCGACCCGATTTTGGCCCGAAACCCGAGGGCCAAAATTATCGGCCCGGCCCGAACCAAAAAAGTCTGACCCGCAGACCCCTAATCATTAACAAAACGAAGCCAAACTGAACTAATCTAACTTAACCTCATTGCCGCAGCAAAGTGTAAAAGCGTCTTCTTAAAAAGACTGTATGGCTTAAAATAATGATATAATACATACTAACGATAGACATATGATAGTAGGCCTATTCAATTCAATTCAAAACTACTTTATTCATCTCTTGTACAAAATACATTGAATAGTATTATGTATCTACTGCCATAAATGGTTCCCACACTCCGCACTGCTTGCCTTTACTACTTCCTTCGCCTACCTACAACGTAGACCTGTTACCCTCCCTTCCCATAGCATTTTAGTATAAAAATAGACTAACATTAAATTGAACAATGTAAAAAGCTGCTTAATACTAAATCTATATCTATTAAAGAGGAAGTATGTATCTATGTATGTTTGTATATACCCTATGGACTCCGAAAACGCTCGAGAGATTGTAATAAAACTTTCAGGCATTATTAAGCATTATTCAAGAATGGTTTGTGTGAAGTTTGGTGCAGATTCGTCAAAAGGGCTCCGCCCCAGAGGAGGGTTTTAAGGGGTCCATTGTCAGACTTTTGTAACTACAATGTTTACGAATAAATAGAACTTAAAAGCAGATGTTTACTTTCACCAACTGTTTTGTAGGTTTTAATAATCACAACATTCTGTATTACCAGTAGACATTATTTGAAATAGTGCCACAATTTTTCCACGGAATGCAGCACACTCGCGTTCACTCATCCCATTACGTGTAGAATAAGCGTACTACTAGTTATAGTCCAAGAATTTTAGGGATAAAACTGCCATTCGACCTAACAAATTCGGACTAAGTAGAAACTTTGCACAGTTGTTTAGTAAGCCTAAATAAATAAAATATCAAAAGTCCCCATAAATCCCGGCTGTGCTTCAGCCGCCATCTTGGAAAATGGCGGCCAATTTTCACTTTTTTTACAATATTTCACAAACTATTGGTATTAGAGAATTTGTGTAAATACAAAAGTTAAAGACCGTCTAAAATACATCTTTTTTATATTAAAAGGTTTGCTCTATCTCTAACAGTTATTGAGATAAATAATAAAAGTTAGTATAAAATTTAAAATTCCCATGTTATTCTTATGGAGGAAAATAAAATGGTTGCAGTTTGCTTAATAATGGATACATTTTGATAAAACTTGGCAAATTTATTTATTTCATACTAAGCTAATGATACATAACATAAATACACGCTTTATTACTCTCCCCATGGCAGTAAACCTAGTACTCAGTAAACTAGTTAAATTTAAAGTTACCATATTTATGTAGGGAATCTATCTTAAATTTTTTAGGAAGTATTTTGGTAATGATCCAGTCAGGCAAATGGAAACTTATTTTTTGACATATTAACAATAGTTTTCCCTTATTAGTAATACAGTTTAAAGTCCACTCACTATCTTTTCACTACTATGTAACTACTTACATGGTAGGCCTACTTATATATATATATTATTACTCCCGATATAATTATTTTGTCGGTAAATATTAGGAAATTCAACCTTAAAATCCGGACTAAATGTGGTTGAGGCACATTTAGGCCTTTTGCCATTTTCATCAACTAGGCGTACTGTGCTTTACTGTGCAAAATTTCAATTTAGTCCGGATGTTAAGGTTCAATTTCCTAATATTTGCCGACAAAATAATTATACCGGGAGTAATAACGTACAGTACCATGTAAGTTTGATCAAAATATATCCACAAATAAGCGAACTGCAACAATTTTATTTTCCTCCATAAGAATAACATGGGAACTTTTAATTTTATACTAACTTTTATTATTTATCTTAATAACCGTTAGAAATAGAGCAAACCTTTTAATATAAAAAAGATGTATTTTTAGAGTAGACGTTCTTTAACGTTTGTATTTACACAAATTCTCTAATACCAATAGTTTTTGAAATATTGTCAAAAAAGTTAAAATGGGCAGCCATTTTCCAAGATGGCGGCTGAAGCACAGCCGGGGTTTATGGAGACTTTTGATATTTTATTTATTTAGGCTTACTAAACAACTGTGCAAAGTTTCCACTTAGTCCGAATTTGTTAGGTCGATTTTCCTAATATTCTTCCACTATTAGTTAAATCTTTCATATAACAAAGGAATTTAAATATTTATTGTTTCACCTTAGGAATCTTTTTTTTAATTTATTGAAAAATAGGAAAAGAGCTAGCCACTAGTTAGCTAAATCAAAGCTACACTAAGACTAAAAGAGACTATTATACTACTATTCGGCAACACTGGTGGTTCCCGGTTCAGGGTAGGGGAATGTTCTTCGTGTGAAACATTAAAAAAATTAATGAAAAACTATAAATTCTTTTAATAATATTTCCTGTTAATTTTCAGGATAAGAGAGCTGAACAATCCAGCCAAGAAGTACAAGGTTGAGACAAATGCTAACCAGCTGTTTATGACTGGCTGTGTTGTAATGTACAAAGACTGCAATGTTGTTGTTGTTGAAGGTGGACCCAAGCAACAGTCAAAATACAAAAGGTGAGTTTACAAATATAAAGTTAGGGTAGGCATACAGGAAGTTAACTTGCCAAATGTGAAACAGTTTTCTTGTTTTCACAACCAATATAACTATTTATTTGGAGAGAATAACACAGGAGATGAACACCATCGTTGAATTATGGTTAATAACTTATATATTTTTACATTAAAATTTGTATTGAAAAAACATGTGATTTATTCTATAAGTCATTGAGGATTATTTTGTTACAGAAATAGGAATCTATAAATCCATAGGGTATTCTACTAATATATATATATACTTTTGCTACTAATATACTTTCCATGGGGGTGAAGCGTATTGCGCAAGAATAAAAATCGGTAAAAGTATAAATTTTCATCCCAAAAGTGCCATGGAACGAAATATTGTATGAGAAATCAATTGAAATCATCGTTGTTTTATAATAACAACCGAGTCAACCGATATGCCTATTAACCCTCCGAGGGTTATGTGTTGAAAAATCGACACATAACACACTTTGTGTACTGTTTTGTGTCGATTTTTCGACTCACAAACACTGTTTACGGCGAAATAGAACTGACAAAATCGGATTGAACTGGATCGAGTTAGGTATCGTTTTATTTGGCAGATTCTAAGCTTTCTCCCGAGGTCTGTCTCTAAGCGCTTTTTTTTCTCGAGCCGATCATAATTGTAGCAGACAGCTGACGTGCGTATTTGTAAACAGCTTGGTTAACCTCGCACCGATGACTGATGTGTTTTATTACGTTTATCATTGTTTTAGTGTTAAAAATCAAAAGTAGTGATATACGTGGTGCATTATAAGAAGATTTAAGTGATTTTGAAGGGCTGGTTGATGATCCTGAAGAAGTAGGTAGTGATATTGATGTAAAGGTCAGCCAGATTCCTAGCTATGGTTAGGCTATGCATTCTTAGCTAAACACTATGTACCGAAATCTTTTTTTTGCCCATAACTTATTTATTTGCAAATCTACTTCCTTATATTATTATATTTTTGGAATCCTCATAAAATTCTTAACAAAGTGGCTATTTTCAAATATTTATAGGCCTATAATTTATACAATTTCATTGAGCACGAACTTATTTTTTTTTTTTTAATTTTCCAAAATATTTTTTGTTTACCTAAAAAATTTTTTTGAAACAAATGTTCCTTATGTTTTATGTATAATATTGAAGCCCATGATTTTCCAAACAAAATGGTATATAGAACAGTATAATTAACATTGTTTTTAAGCTTCTCAGATCCGTTTTAATAAAACCTTGCAAATGCGCAAAAAATAGGCAAACATTAAGGCCAAAACTAGGGACACTCGGAGGGTTAAAACTCACATGATCGAAAGTCGCGCCGGCCCGATATATCGTTGCAATGTATTTTTCGGTAAGACTACCGACGACGATATATCGTTGTGAAGTATTTTTCAGATGTGTTGTGCAAAACAATATATCGTTGCGTGGCATTCAAAGGGTTAAGCTGAAATTGTGTGTCAGTTTAGCTTACCGGTACTCTTAAAAAAATATTTTAGGGACAGGTATATTGGTAAGAATTGTATGGGATTCTCTCTTTTAATACTGTGTATAAGGTTATATTAAAGTGTATAAAATTATGTCACAAAAATTAATGCTGGTATTTTACTTATAAAAACATTTTTATATTTGTTTATAGGTTAATGCTAAATCGTATCAAATGGGAAGAAGACCTTTTAAAAAATCCAACAGAAAAGGACAAGAACAATCAGTGTGTGCTCATTTGGGAAGTAAGTTCATTTTTCAAAAGCCAAAGAGAATTTTCAGTTGCCTCAACTACTGCAGAAATGTCTTATAATAGTATTGACTTAATGAGATGATACACTGATTTGAGTTTTTAGATTAGTGATATGATATGACAAGCGGATCATTGAGTCAAGTAAATATGTTCTCTTTAATGCACAAATGAATTAAAATTTAAAAAAATTCAATTGTTAATGAAACGCAGCTAAACTGTCAGTGAATAATTTCATAACCACGATAATCCTCTGTTGTGATCTTATTTACACATTGTTCAAATGTGGTTTTTATTTAATTTTTAAATTTTATTCTGAAACCCCCGTCATTAACTTGAAAAGGTGAAAATCAAAGCAGACCACATATTATTTTCTTTCTACCTAATTCTAAAATGATTTTTTTACTTGGGATATGTCAATTCTTCATACCACCAATACTTGGACAATGGTACTGGTATCGAGAATCGATCAACTAAAGTCAATTCTGATTCCGATACTCGACTTGTCTGCTAATATCGCGGAGAATTACCGCTCTTGCCGCGATCCAGCAAGACAATGATGATATCTACACAATTGCAGGAGACGGTGATGATGTCTACATGACTGTGCGAGATGTTAATGATTTTGCCTCTATAGCGGAAGATGACGATAAAGTTTCCATGACCACGGGATTGATGATGAAGTCTACAAGGCAGAGGGAGATGTTCATAATTATGCCGTGATTGCCCTAGATGACTTTGTTGTTTTGTCATGCGGGAGACGATGTTTATGTCTACTCGGCCACGGGAGATCCTCATGATTATGCCGCAAACATGCAAGACTACGGCGTTTCCACGACCGCGGGCCGTGGGAGATAATTAGAATTTCGCCGCAATCGCAGAAGACGACAATAATACAGGGTTTTAATAAAAGAATGCCAGGATTTTAAATGGTAATTGTTGGGATATTACTCAAGTTAACTAAATGCTTTATACGTCAATTTGGATCTAAAATAACCCCGAGAAAATCCCCGAAAACGGGACAAAAGCATTGCCAGACGGGATTTTACGGGAATGTTTAGTACCAACCTACACCAAAATAAAGCTTGTATTCTAACAGCCTAGCAACAATCACATTGTCGCCAGCCGAGTGCTGGGCTCAGACAAACGCAATATTTGGCAGGCGAGCACACTACTGATATAGCAGTAGGCTAACAGGCAAGCATGTTTATTTAAAATATTTTTTCTAAGCTTTTGTGCATCACAGAGAAAATATACGCATACTGTTAAAAATATGGGATTTTACGGGAATGTTTAGTACCAACCTACACCAAAATAAAGCTTGTATTCTAACAGCCTAGCAACAATCACATTGTCGCCAGCCGAGTGCTGGGCTCAGACAAACGCAATATTTGGCAGGCGAGCACACTACTGATATAGCAGTAGGCTAACAGGCAAGCATGTTTATTTAAAATATTTTTTCTAAGCTTTTGTGCATCACAGAGAAAATATACGCATACTGTTAAAAATATATTTTCTTGTAGATGTGCAGAATCCCTTTATAAATTAAAATAGGCTCAAAATTGTTGAAATTACTTATAGTACTTTGTGTAATGGCAAAATGTTCTGCCTCCTAAAAACTGTCAAACAGTTAATAGTTTAATACCATATGTTTTTGGTTTTGTGTTATGTAAATAAAATCAATCTATATCTATATATATAATAGTCAGCTGTGTATTGTTTTACACCATAGTTGTAAATTATTTTTCTCTTGATTATTTTTACAAAAAAACTCGGTTTTTATAGTTAGTTTTTGTTTTTATAGTCATAAATGAATGTGCGTTAGTATTCCGTTATGCTCAGTTACTTTCAGACTTGATTTGATGTGTAACAGTGTAACTATTTAGACTTTTGAAATTTCATAACCTGTACCGTTTGATTTGTTTACGTTTATCTATCATTTCTCTTTTGAAATGGCCGACGAAGGTGTGAATTACACCAACTCGCACCTCTCTGACCACAACTACTCCAATACCGAGGGTTCTCTTTCATCTGAAATCATCGATGCTATGATTGATTCTCCTAGCAAGATAAACACGTCAGAAGACGATACTGTTATATCTCCTAGTCTGTATATATGATGAATATTAACTTTGATTTAATTTATTTGTCATATGGTTTGGTTTTGTTTTGTTGTTGTCATAATAGTTTTATATGAGTTGTTGAAAATAGAAGTGTGGTTTTAAAAGTCTAGTTTTTTCTAATTTTATCTTTATAGTTTTCATCACTTAAAGAAGGTAGGTGTGTAGTGTAAAACAACATTTGGCGACCGTGACAGGACTTGTTTTTTCACCTATCTCTATGATGGAAAATCTAAAGAAAAATAGAACAGTATATAGGGCTTATTTTTCTAAAACATTGAGCAAACTAAACAGTTTAGTTGAAAATGAAACCACAGACAAAATTGAAATTCAAACCACTCTAAAGCTTTTGGAGATAAAGGTTGATGAACTCCAGGTTTTGAATTCTCAGATCTTTGATTTGTTATTGAATAATGATAATGTTTCTGAAGATGAGCTGTTAGCTGAAACAATCAAAGCTGGAGAATATTTAGCTTTGTTTGAAGCTGTAAAATTAAGAGTCCAGAATTTACTACAACAAAGTAACGATGTAGTTAGTGCTCATTCTGGATCTTGCTGTAACAATGCTAGTAAGAAGAAATTTAAGCTCCCTAAAATAGAGATAAAAAAGTTTGATGGAGAATTGATCAATTGGCTACCTTTCTGGAGTCAGTTTAGCAAAATTCATAGTGACTCAGACATTGATTCAGAGGATAAGTTTCAATATTTATTGCAATCCATAGTTACCGGATCAAGAGCTTTTGATGTAGTTCAGAGTTTTCCTCCGACTGGTGCAAACTATCCAAAAGCAATTGAATGTTTGAAAGCCAGATTTGGTAAAGATGACCTATTGGTAGAGGTTTATGTCAGGGAACTCTTAAAAATTGTTTTACAAAATGCTCTAGGAGGCAAAAACACAATGAACTTACAAAGTTTATATGACAAACTTGAGTCTCATATGCGTGCATTAGATACCTTGGGAGTTACAACAGATAAATGTTCCTCCATGTTATACCCGTTAGTTGAAAGTTGTATGCCTGAAGATCTCTTAAGGGCCTGGCAAAGAAGCCCTTTGAAAGTAGGTACAGACCCTCAGGAAAGACTCAACAATTTAATGAAGTTTATGTTGTCTGAAGTTGAAGGGGAACAGAGAATCGGTCTAGCCATGGCAGGTTTTGGGATAAGTAGCTCTGGGAAGGAGAAATCTTTTAAAAGGTCACCTCAAACTCAACCAGGTAAGATAGACATACCAACAGCTTCATGCCTCATGTCCTCTGGTAAAACTCAAAACTCTTATACAAAGTGTGTCTTTTGTGATAAGAATCATAAGAGTAGTAACTGTTTTGCTGCTCAGAAATTGCCATTGTCTCATAAGGTGTCCACTTTAAAGGAAAAGAGGTGCTGTTTCCTTTGCTTGCAGCCTGGTCACCGTATTAAGAATTGTAGAGCTCATTTGTCATGTTCTAATTGTAAAAGGAAACATTATCCTATAATGTGTCCTAGTATTCATTCCAAAGAAGTAGTGAATGAGTGTGTAAGCAAATGTGTTGATGAGGTATCTAAAGAAATGACAGTAGTGGAAGATACCGCTTTGGCCAATAAATCAAGTAGCAAAGTGAAAGTGTTTCTGCAAACAGTTAAGGCAAGATTAAGAACCCCAGGTAGTAATCAATTTGAGACTGTTCGCATTCTTTTTGATTCTGGTTCACAGCGTTCTTACATTTTAAAGGACTTGGCTGAAAAAATGAATTACGAAAGCTTAGGAGAAGAAACAATCATACACTCTCTTTTTGGTAATGTCAAATCTGGTGAAGTAATTCATAACAGACATCGTGTGTTTCTAACCAGTCAGGATTACAGTTACAACTGCAACTTTGAGGTATTGAGTCAAACTACCATATGTGGGGAAATTCCACCTGTTACCGAAGGTCCCTGGATACAGGAACTTTTAGAGAAAAATGTTTCTCTGACTGACATACATGAGACCGAGCTACCAATTGGTATTTTGATTGGAGCGGATATAGCGGGTAAACTATTCACTGGAAATATGATTCAACTGAAATCTGGACTAGTGGCTATGGAAACTCTTCTGGGATGGACACTGATGGGTAAGGCTATAATTAGTTGTAGTACAGGTTCAACTACACTCTCCACTGTTGTAACATCAATGTTTATTAATGATGCTGACATATCGGAACTGTGGAGATTAGACACTATAGGCATTACTGATACAAGTGAATCAGTTTCCAAAGAGCAAAAGGCTTTGGCAGTTAAAAAGCATTTTATAAAAACTACCACTATAAATGAAGAAGGTCGATATGAAGTAAGTTTGCCCTGGGTTGATTGTCATCCTCCTTTGCCTAGTAACAGAGAGTTAGCCGAAAAGAGGTTATCAACAGTTGTAAAGAAATTGGATGGTAACAATTTAACCGAAGACTATGACTCAGTTTTTAAACAGTGGTTAAGTGATGGCATCATTGAAGCTGTACCTTCTGACGATTTGAACAACAACTTTCACTACCTGCCACATAGACCTGTAGTGAAGGAGAGTAGTATTACCACACGAATTCGTCCAGTGTTTGATGCATCAGCAAAGACCAAGTTTTCACCCTCATTGAACGACTGTATTGAAAATGGACCAAATTTAATTGAACTGATTCCTTCTGTTATGATGCGTTTTAGGGAAGGGAAGTTTGGAGTTATTGCTGATATAGCAAAAGCCTTCTTACAGATATCGTTAAATGTACAAGATAGAGATTTTCTTCGGTTTTTATGGTTTGACATCAATGAAAGAAGCCGAAGTATTGTTTACCGCCATAAAAGAGTTGTTTTTGGAGTGAAATGTAGTCCATTTCTTCTAGGGGCAGTAATTGATCTGCATCTTCAAAAATCTATGACTTCTCAGGAGTTTGATGATAATGTGGTAAAGAAGCTGAGTAAAAGTTTTTACGTGGACAATGTTTCGACCAGTGTAGATACTTATGAGGAACTAAAACACTTTGTTGAAGAATCGAAACAAGTTATGGCTGCCGCTAAGTTTGATTTAAGAGGATGGCATGCCACGAGCGTCATTGAAGAAGGAGATAACAAGTTCGTCACTAATGTTTTGGGAGTTCAATGGAACTATATTGAGGACGTTCTGTTTTTTAACCTCACAAACTGTATTAAAGATTTGGACGTGTCTCGAATCACAAAGAGAGACATTTTATCCATATCTCACAATATCTTTGATCCAATTGGTATCCTTTGCCCTGTTACTTTGTTTCCTAAACTTCTTCTGCAAAGTATGTGGGACTTGAAAATTGACTGGGACACTGAAGTAAGTTCAGACATCAGTAAACTATTCATACTGTGGTATAATGAGCTAAGCGCTCTTGGAAAAGTGAAAATACCCCGATGGATAGGTAAAATGACTATGGATTCAAATGGTTGTAGTATTCATACATTTTGCGACACAAGTATAAGATGCCTATGCTACAGTTATTTACTTGAGAGTTGAAATTGAAGATGAAGTAAGAGTCCAATTATTGTCGGCAAAATCAAGAGTAGCTCCTCTGAAGAAAACCACGATTCCAAGGTTGGAATTATCAACCGCCACGGTGGGAGCACGTCTCACAAGCTGGACGAAAAATCAAAGTTCCAAAAAGGTTCATGTTTGAGTAGTAATACTACTCGGTGGGAGGATGTTATATCTCCTAGTCTGTATATATGATGAATATTAACTTTGATTTAATTTATTTGTCATATGGTTTGGTTTTGTTTTGTTGTTGTCATAATAGTTTTATATGAGTTGTTGAAAATAGAAGTGTGGTTTTAAAAGTCTAGTTTTTTCTAATTTTATCTTTATAGTTTTCATCACTTAAAGAAGGTAGGTGTGTAGTGTAAAACAACAGATACAGACAACTGGCAAACGATTCCCAAACGCAGAAACGTTGGAGAAGTTTCTAATAGAAACCAAAAAAAGGCCAAACAAGACATGAACACGCCTATTGAAGTTAGCAACAGTTTTGAAGTATTAAATGTAGATAATGAAGACATGGACTCTAACATCCCAACAAATTTTTCTAAAAAATCATCAGAACCTAAGCCTCCACCTATTTTTATTCCTGATGTGGGTAATGTGAAGGCAATGATTCAAACATTTGAATCTGTCGTTGACACTACTGCTTTTGCCTACAAATGCATAAATAACAATTCAGTTAAGATTCTTCCAACATCTGCTGATATTTATAGAAAAATAGTGAGAAAACTTAACGAGAGTAATGTCAGCTTCCATACATTTCAGCTTAAACAAGATCGAGCATACAGAGTTGTATTGAAGAATATGCACTATTCAGTTGATACAGAAGAACTAAAAGAAGCACTACGACAGATGGGTCATGAGGTAAGAAATATTTCTAATGTACTTCATTCAACCACCAAACAGCCACTGTCAATGTTCTTTGTTGATTTAGAGCCGAGTTCAAATAACAAAGACGTCTTCAATATTCAGTATTTGTTACATGCCAAGATAACTTTTGAACCCCCTTATAGGAAAAGGGAAATTGTTCAATGTAAAAGATGTCAACAATATGGTCACACAAAAACCTACTGTAGGCATCCATTTAGATGTGTTAAATGTGGAAAAGAACACGATACAATCAAATGCACTAAAGACAATTCTACTCCTGCAATATGCGCCTTGTGCGGAGGAGATCATCCAGCAAATTACAGGGGATGCATGGTCTTCAAAAATATCCAGAGTCGAACACATCCCCAGGCTCGAGGAAGAACTACCGTACCAAACCAAGCTGAAGTTGCTCAATCATCACATTCTGCCTCTTCTGACAATCTAACACGTCCTGACGTTTCGTATGCGGAGGCAGTTAGCAACTCACGAGTAAGTAACAAAACTAAACCCAGCACAAGTTCTGATAATGTGAATGCACGCACGCCAAGTAATGCTTCTAGTGATGCATCCACAGAAAAGTTAACAAATACAATAACTTCATTCTTTGATCGGTTTGAAAAACTGTTTATGCAACAATCTCAACAAATAGGTTCCTTACTTGACCTACTTACAACTGTTCTTAAAAAGCTCAATTAATGGTGAAAACCTTGAAGATAGCCTTGTGGAATGCTAACGGCTTGGCACAGCGATGCCAAGAATTAAAACTGTTCATTGCTAAACATAAGTTGGACATTATTCTTATTTCTGAAACTCACTTTACTGATTTAAACTTTTGTAAAATTCCAAATTTCAGTCTATACAACACTAACCATCCTAGCAATGGAGCTCATGGAGGTTGTGCTATCTTGATTAAAAGTCATATCAAGCACCATGAATTGCCAAAATATCAATTCGATTTCATCCAAAGTTCATCTGTTGTAGTGGAGTTTGAGACAGGCCCACTTACTATAAGTTCTATTTACTGCCCACCTAGACACAACATTACACGCCAACAGTTTAATGATTTCTTCTGCACTTTAGGCTGTAAATTTTTGTCAGGAGGGGACTACAATGCCAAACATCCTACATGGGGCTCCCGTCTGGCAACTCCTAGGGGTCGACAACTATTGCAGTCAATCCAAGAACGGAACCTTGATACTCTATCGACAGGCGAACCGACATATTGGCCCTCTGATCGTCAAAAAATACCAGATCTTCTTGATTTTTTTGTTACAAAAGGTGTATCCCGAGATTTTGTGACAATCGAGCAATCTCTGGACCTTTCCTCAGACCACTCACCTGTAATTTTAACGATCGCTTCAAATGTTATATTCAAACCTATTCCACCACATTTATGCAACAAAAATACAGATTGGAATTATTTTCGTGAATTAATGGATCAAAATTTAAAGATTTCTGTGTGTTTGAAGAGCGAAGAAGATTTGAATCTTGCTATTGAACATTTCAACAAAACAGTTCAAGACTCCGCTTGGAGAGCAACTCCAGACCAGAATAAACATAATTTAAAATCAGGAATAATTGCCGAAAAACGCCGACTCCGTAGAATATGGCAAAACTCTAGAGACCAGACGGATAAAAGAAATCTAAACAGGGCCACTCAACAACTAAAAAGGTTACTGTTTAAATTAAACAATGACAGATTTCAAGATTTCACATCAAACCTTTCTCCATCTGAAGCTAGTGACTACTCCCTTTGGAAAGTTACAAAAAACTTAAAACGTCCACAAATTTGCATTCCACCTATTCTAAAAGAAGACGGTTCTTGGGCCAAAAACAACATCGAGAAAGCAGATGTATTTGCTTCATACTTCAAGGAAGTGTTCAAGCCATATAATATTAATTCAAATGTTGAGCAAGAAATTTTGGAATTCCTCGATTCTCCAAATCAACTTGATTTACCAATAAAATTGTTCACACCATCTGAAGTAGCTAAAGTGATAAAAGACGATTTAAACGGTAAAAAAGCCCCCGGTTATGATCTGATAACAGGTAAAGTGTTGAAAGAGCTTCCTAGAAAAGGAATAGTTTTCCATACAGTACTTTTCAATGCAGTTTTACGCCTTGAATACTTCCCAATACAGTGGAAGGTTTCACAAATTGTTGTTATTCCGAAACCTGGTAAACCTTTAAATCAAGCATCCTCGTATCGGCCTATATCTCTTCTTCCTGTGGTTTCTAAAGTTTTTGAAAAACTTTTCTTAAAAAGACTCCAAATTATAATTGATGAAAAAGAATTGTTGCCTTCCCATCAGTTTGGGTTCCGCCGAAGGCATTCCACCGTTGAGCAAGTGCATAGAATAGTGAATGTAATCAAGGAAGATCTTGAAAATAAACGTTTTTGTTCATCTGCTTTTTTGGACGTAGCCCAGGCGTTTGATAAAGTCTGGCACACAGGATTATTGTTCAAAATTAAAACTTTGCTGCCCCATACATACTATGGAGTGTTGAAATCGTATTTGTCCAAACGCTTTTTTCAAATTAAATATCAAGATATAGTTACAGATGTGCATGAAATTGAATCAGGTGTACCACAAGGCAGTGTTCTTGGACCTATTTTGTATATTTTGTTCACTTATGACCTTCCAAGTACTCAGGGTATTACGGTTGCAACATTTGCAGACGACACTGCTTTTTTATCATCAAATCAGGATCCTATTCTGGCATCATCAAACCTTCAGGCTGCATTAGACGATTTGTCTCAGTGGCTACAGAATTGGAAAATTAAAGTAAATGAAACAAAATCCGTTCAAGTTACATTTACTATGTCTACAAGAACTTGTCCCCCAGTAACATTGAATAATGTCATGCTTCCACAATCCAACGAAGTTAAGTACCTTGGTATGCATCTCGACAGACGGCTTACATGGCATTCACACATTTGGAACAAACGACTTCATTTAAATTTAAAAACAAACAAACTAAATTGGCTCATTGGTCGAAATTCAAAATTATCTGTTGAAAATAAATTACTTTTATACAAAATTATATTGAAACCTATTTGGACCTACGGTATCCAACTCTGGGGAACCACTTCCAACTCAAACATAGAAATAGTTCAAAGGTTTCAATCGAAAACATTGAGAAAGATTTTACAAGCACCTTGGTTTGTCACAAATAAAGTAATTCATCAAGATACAAAATTACCCTATGTTAAAGAAGAAATAAAGAAACGAAGTGAAAAATACCAAAGAAAATTAGAAACCCATCCAAATTTCCTGGCAGTCAACCTCCTCGACAATAGTGAAGCTACATATAGGCTCAAAAGAGTTAATCCAATAGACCTTCCAAATCGTTTTTAGTTAAACTTTTTAAACGTTTTTTTATGTTAGTGCACTTGATGGAGTGTAACTAACCCATGTTAAGATGGTTATAAAATTTACTTATTATTCTAGTATTGAATAGATTGTAAATAAATACTTGTTAAAAAAAAAAAAAAAAAAAAAATATATATATAATAGGCTAAGCCGTTTTTTGTTAATCAAACTCCTCTGTTATTATTCGCCCGATTTTGACGTTTGAGGTCTCAAAATAAAGGTTAAAACGTGTAGTTGTGCCCAACGATATTAGATTTTTTATAAAGTCGTTGGTAAGGGCGTCAGAGGCCCTTAAAGTCAGTTTTTTCTCCATAAGGATAACATGGGAGATAATTTTTATTTATAAAAACATATGTATTTTGGTTGAAAATAGTCAAAGTCTACTACATAAGAAATCGGTGTGTATTATACCTGTAAATGTATATTAAGTTTAATCATGTTTTGGATACCTTAAATTGTACTCATAATGGATCATACTATTTTATTTTAATGTGAAGAATAGTAAAATTTAGTTGAGAATAAGTTACCATGATTTACAAAACTGTACTGTAACATTCAAAATCACAAATCTTTGACAATCATTAATTTGACATGAAACAGCTGATCTACCAGACAATTTATTTATAAATCAAAACAAAACAAATCCTCTACTTCAAGTTTGTTTCTATACAAAAATATGTTTTTTTTATTAATTGTTGTGTATCCTTGTGGTGATATTCCAAGTACTGTACAAAATGTCAGCTGACATTCTTAATGTTTTAGTCAGATTTGTTTATTTATTCTGTTTAATTCTTGTATTCAGTTTTGCTTAATAAAACCTAAGTTTTATTCTCTAAAGGTTTATTACAATTTATTAAGCAAATATTATCATAATTAGTCTGAGAATCAGTATCTATAGGCTTCCTATAAACCATTCTATTCAATCACTTAATACTAGAGAAAGAAATGGATAAACTGTTAAGACCAGAAAGATTTGAATGTCTACCTGATACAACCAAAGCAGCATTTGAATTCAAACATTGGTTGAGGACTTTTGAAAATTTTGTATCCTCTGTTGATAAAGTAAGTGACGAAGAAAAGTTAAAACTACTCATAAATTACATTAGTCACAACGTATATGAATTTATTTCAGAAGCAAAGACCTATGAAGATGCTGTGAAGGTTTTACAGACCCTCTATGTGAAACCTCAAAATGAAGTTTATTCAAGGCATATATTAGCTATTTCCAAGCAACAACCTGGGGAGTCTGTAGATCAATTCTTACAAAAACTGAAACTTTTGAGTAAAGATTGTAATTTTCGTAATGTTAATGCAGAAGAAAGTAAAAACGATTACATTAGAGACTCATTCATCACTGGGCTATTATCTCCTCAAATACGTCAAAGACTACTAGAGAACAATACTCTGAAATTAGAAGATTCCGTTGCTCAAGCAAGAGCTCTAGAATCAGCTCAGAAACACTCAGAAATCTACCAACAAACTCATCAAAATCAATTCTTGAACAGTACTTTAAATCAAGAGATGAATCAAGAAGAATGTTATAAGGAATCATCACTGGCTGCCTCAGGGACAATAAAATGCTTCTTCTGTGGGAAAGCCAAACATCCTCGAAATGTCTGT